ATTCCATTAGATTCTATTGTGACAGCTGTCATATCATCGTTCTTTTTTTTTTTTTTAAGATTTTATTTATTCATCTTTAGAGGGGAAGGGAAGGAGAAAGGGAGAGAAACATCAGTGTGTGGTTGCCTCCCACATGGCCTGCACTGGGGACCTGGCCTGCAACCCAGGCACGTGCCCTGACCGGGAATCGGACCTGGACCCCTTCGTTCGCAGGCCCGCACTCAATTCACTGAGCTACACCAGCCAGGGCTCATTTTTTAAAAAATTGATCAAAATTGGTGAATTTTTGCATAGACATTTTAATATTGAAGATGGAAGAAAATAAGCAACATTTTTGGCATGTTGTGCTTCATTATTTCAAGAAAAGTAAAAACTCAACTAAATGACAAAAAAAGATTTGTGCAGTGTATGGAGAAGGTCCTGTGACTGATGGAATGTGTCAAAAGTGGTTTGTGAAGTTTTGTGCTGGAGATTCTCAATGGATGATGCTCTACAGTCAGATAGACCAGCTGAAGTTGATAGTGATCAAATCGAGACATTAATCGAGAAAAATGAATGTTTATATCACATGGAAGATATCTGACACACTCAAAATATCCAGATCAAGAAAGTTATTGGCGAAAATGAAAAATGTCTTGTATTTTACAGTAAAAACCATACAGACTTTTTGGCCAACCCAAAATATTTTTCAAAATTTAAAGCATGGAATCCTTTATGCATAGAATGTAGTTTGAAAAAATCATTGTTCAAAATGCATAAATCTTTTTAAAAAATATTGTTTATTTATTTTTATAGAGAGGGGAAGGGAAGGAGAAAGAGAGGGAAAGAAACATCAATGTGTGGTTGCCTCTCACACGCCCCCTACTGGGGATCTGGCCTGCAACCCAGGCATGTGTCCTGACTGGGAATCGAACCAGCAACCCTTTACTTCACAGGCCTGTGCTCAATCCACTGAGCTACACCAGCCAGGGCCGAAATGTATAAATCTTTATTATCATTTTTACATACAAAAATTTTTAAACAGGTATAACTGAATACTTAGGTAAATAGAAAAAATAACCTCAGAAAATTTGCTTAGTCCTTTAATTTTCAATAATATGGTTTTGTTTTATCCGTTCACCATGTGTTTTACATTGCTTACAAAATATGTATATCAGTTAATGAAGATATAATTCATTTACCAAAATAATGACTCTTGTTCTGTAACAGTTCCTATAATTAAATTATTATTGTGGTAAGAGTCATGTAACAGAGATTTACCGTTTTAACCATTTTACGTGTGCAGCACGGCAGTGTTAGGTATGTTCGCACTGTCGCCTGGCAGATCTCCAGAACCGTTTCATCTTGCAAAACGGAAACTCTGCCTGCTGAACAACAGTGCCCCTTTTGCCCCTAGTCCCAGCTCCTGGCAACCACCACTCTACTTTCTCTTAGAGTTTGACTGCTGCAGGTACTTCATATAAGTGGAATCATGTAGTATTTGTCTTTTTGTGACTGTCCTGTCTCACGTAGCATGATGCCCTTATGGTTCATCTGTGTTGTAGCATAGGACAGGGTTCTTTTTAAAGGTTGAATAATAGTCTATTTTTTATATATACCACATTTTCTTCATCCATTCATCTGTGCATAGATGTTTAGGTTGCTTCCACATCTTGGCTATTGTGAGTAATGTTACACTGAACATGGATATGCAAATGTCTATTTGAGATCCGATTTTTATTCCTTTTGGTATAAACCCAGAATTGGGACTGATGGATCATATGGCAGGTCTAATTTTAATTTTTTGAGGAGCCCCTATACTATTTAATGAAGCAGCTGTAGCAGTTCACAATCTACAAACAATGCGCAAGAGTTCAAGCTTCTCTGCATCCTTGTCAACATTTGTTATTTTCTGTTTTTTTTTCTTTTAATAGTGTATGAGGTACTGGCTCATTGTAGTTTTGATTTGCATTTTCCTGTCGTTTACTAATGTTGAGCATCTTTTCATACACTTTTTTTGCCATTTGGATATCTTTGGAGAAATGTCTACGGAAGGCTTTTACCCATTTTTTAATTGGGTTAATTTTTGTGTTGTTAAGTTCTATACACAATCTGGGTATTAAATCCTCATCAGATACATGATTTGTTTCCATTTTTGTAGGTTGCCTTCTCATTCTGTGGATTGTTTTTTTGTTTGTTTTTGTTTGCTGCATAGAAGTTTTTTAGTTTGATTAGTCATATTTGTCTGTTTTTGCTTTTTGCTCCATAGCCCTGCTCTCCCCTGTACCTGACGTCTAGTTTGGAGCCTCTTGTTCAGTTTTTATGTAAAAAAGCCGTGTACCAGAGTCGCCTGTACTATTGGTTAATTAATATTCAAGAAATCGTTGCCAAATTCGGTGTCAGGGAGCTTTCCCCCTATGTTTTCTTCTAGGATTTTTATGGTTTCAGGTCTTCAATTTAGGTCTCAAGTCCATTTGAGTTAATTTTTGTATATGGTATAAAATAATGGTCCAGCTTCATTCTTTTGCATATGGATATCCAGTTCCCAGCACCTTTTGTTGAAGCGACCATTCTTTCCCCATTGTGTGGGCTTGGAACCCTTGTCGAAGTTCATTTGACCACATATGCGAGGGTTTATTTCTGAACTATTCTGGTCCATTGGTCTGTATGTCTGTCTTTATGCCAGTACCACGCTTATTTTGAAACAGTAGCTTTATAATATGTTTTAAAATCAGGAACCGTGATGTTTCCAGCTTGGTTTCTCTTTCTTAATTGTTTTGGCTATTTGATTCCATATGCATTTTAAATTTTTAAAAATTCTGCAATAAATGCCATTGAGATTTTGATAAGAGATTGCATTGAATCTATAGATTGATTTAGGTAGTCTGGATATATTAGCAATTATTAAGGGTAGGATTATATTTTAATACTATGTGGAAGAACTGGTTTCTGTGAAAGCTATTCGAATTTCAAAGCAGTAAAATTATGCCATTGTCTTGTTGAAGAATGCTTATTTTATTTTACCTTCTCTCTAAGAGAAAGAGTAGGGAGATCAAGAGCGGGAGGTGGAGTTGTACAGCTCCAGCCCAAGCAAAGGGTTTTGAGTTAGTAAGATACAAACCAAAAATAAGGGGTGAGGTAGTTTGTAAATATTACCTCTCTGAATTATACCTTTCTGGAAATTATCTGATATATGAGAGGACTGTTCTGAGCAATCCTAACTCTTGTGCTTATATTGAAATTCAGAATAAGTGTTAATAGTGAGCCTTTTACATGGAGCTCTAGCAGGTTAGCCTGTGATTAATTGTTGTTCATGTATTTTAAAATGTAGGACAGGCCAATAAAAGTTGTGTGTTAGGATGGTAAACTGGTTCCTGTTCTCCTTATATTTAACTTATGAGTTATTTTTCTTTTGATTCAGATTTTTTTAGTGAGCAGTATCTTGTTTCATGGATGAAATTTCTTCTTTGTAAGGATACTCATGAGTCTTAATTTTTTTCTGCATTGTCTGTAGTCAAGTTGTTTCTGCTTGTTTCGGTCTAGTTCTCTCGTGTTAGAGCCCGGTGATCTTGACTTGGTATTCACACTTAAGCGTGAAGTGTGTAATTCTCTGTCACTGTGGGCAGGCCTTATGTGTTGGGCTTCTCTGTGGGATGATGTTGTGGAGACCTGGCTCTTTAAAAAATTCATAGGTCTTCTCTCTCCAGCTATTTAGTTTTTTTCCAAAAAGAATCCAACAGACTATTGCTGGGAGTGGTACCTGTCTTCCTGCTTTTTGCTTAATCACCCTCTTTCTGCTCCGTAGCCCTGCTTTCCCCTGTACCTGATGTCTAGTTTGGAGCCTTTTCAGTTTTTATGTAGAAAAGGCGTCTACCAGAGTAAAATGGGGATAACCATCTGGGGAGGAATCTAGGCAACTGACCTCATTCAAGCTTTCAGTCATCCACCTGTGCGCCATCCCTGCCTTCTTAGGACCTGCTACCTGCAGTCGTGGGCTTTCTGGAAGTGCTGTGACTTGGTTGCTTTTCTCCTCATTGGTACTTTCTCTGGAGTCACTGCTGTTCTGGTTTCAGATCACTCCTAACTCCTCCCATCTGCTTTACATTAGTGACAGATTTATTGATATCTCTCTTCTGCTTTTATGTCCCTGCAATTTTCTTGGTCCGTGGGTTTTACCATTTAAAAAATATTTTTGTTACCTTTTTAGCAGTGTTTCCAGGGGAAGCAGAAATAAACATATGTTTAATCTGCCACATTTAATCTAAATATCTTTATACACCAGAACTTCAAGACCCATCTCAAGCCCCACACATTTCAGGAAAGCTTTTCCCCATGACTCTAGACGCTGTTGACATTTCCTGCTTCTTTCTCTAACACAAACAAACACACTTGTTTGCAGTTCTTTGTCTTATATTTGTTTCTGTGGCCATACAACTACATTTGTACTTTTTCTGACTACCTTATTTCATTTTGAAAAGTTTAAAGCATTTAAACTTTATAAAGAACTGTATTTCCATCCCATTTAGTTCAGCTTATTTATTTACTAAACACCCTTTGTGTACAAAACATTGCTTTGGTTATTACAGGGGATACTGTGGGAGTAGCAAGATGAACTCAACGAACCCAGGGACTTGGCACTGGCGGGGATGGGAGTGGTGGGAAAGGGGGCGGGGGAGCACAGTCAGACCTGCACGTGGGAAAACTCCAGACTTGTTCAGGCAAGAGTAAGTTTTAGTTCATGAAGTTTGGGCATTTTGTAAAGAAATAATAAATCTGCCTGGTAAACAACTTTGTTCATTTATTTATTTTTTTGCCAGAGCCAGCTGGTTTGTCTGTTGTCTCCTCCTCACTGGGTACAGAGGAGTGCCTGGCATATAATGCACTTAATAAGCATACATATTTAGTAAGCATTTATTGATTTATGGTATGGAAAAGCACTTTGGGAATGGATGCTTTATATATTCTGCTTTCTTATACATTAAAAAAGTAAACATGAGGCCTTCCTCCCTGCCCCACTTTAGATTTTCCTTACTCCTGCTGAACTTGGAGGAATACTACTTTGAACAGCACGCAGCTCATCATGTTCAGCATAAGGGCAGTCAGAATGAAAGGTAAGGACGGTTCGTGGGTCTCTGGACTTTCTGTAGTCCGATCATTTTAAAGCTGAATGTATGGTCGTACAGGTGTTTTCCTCCTTTCATGCTGTTAAAGTAATGACAAGGGGGGGGTTTAAGTTGCTGTCATACTTCAGATAGTTTCCAAAGCTAAGAATCAGCATGTGCTAATTCCTTCAAGGCTGTGAGTGCCTCATATCAGCTGGCTAGGACTCTGGTTCATTCCGTCATTTTTTTCTTGCCTCCCTTTTGTACTTACACTTTCAGTTATTTGGGTTGCAGTGTTAAGAGTAATGATCACCAAACACACTGGTATAAAAATCAGCACTGTCCATTTGAACTGGAAGCAACATTTTCTCTATATTTTAATTACTACTTATTACTTTAAAAAGCCAGATTGTTTCTTTACTCATACCTTTTGAAAGGTATATACAAAAGTATACAATGAAATTTTTATTTCAAATGCCAGCTTGGAATTGGCTAAGATGAAAACTGTTCCAGCAAAAATGTTTCTGCTGATGATTTCCTGTCGGGATGTCACTTCACTATTGGCTACAGCTTGCAACATGCTTTCATATTGAATGCCTGAATTTTTAGTATTCTTCAGGATTTGTCCTGAAAGGGTCAAAGCCATGTAGTATTTGTTTAAATACAAGCCAAAGTAAAAATGATGTAGCTTTTATGTTTATTATCTTAGGACATTTCTTTCCTTAGCATTCAATCAAATTAAACAACTACTATTCCTCAAAAGTAGCACCTTGCTCTCTTACATCTGAAATTTTGCTCATATTCATTTCTCTAATTTCGTACAGTTTTTCCTCTCAACATTCCCGTGTCCTATATCATATTAATGGCTTGCTTGAGCTTAAATACATTTTTATTATTAAAACACAAATATAAGCTAGCAAAACTTAGTATTATGACTTTAAAGTTATCACTGGGGTAAAACGCTCCAGCCCCACGGGAGTGAATTTGGTAGTGTCTAGCACAGCTGCAGGTGCATGAACCTATTCATCTAGCCACGCCACTTGTAGGAAATACTCTCAGATAGGCACTGGAAAGTTCATAAATGGACATATGTACATGTTTATTTATTATGGCATTTCTTGACTGGTAACAATCCAGCAGGGAACTGACTGAACAAACCTTGCAAAGTGCACACAGCGGAGCTCCATGCAGCTGGAACAAAGGAATGAGGAAGTTCCATACTGCAGTGGAGTGATGAGCAGACGTTAAATGCAAGAAGCAAAGGGCAGAATACTGTGTATTGTATGCTGTCTTTCACATGAGAAAGAGGGGAATAATTTTTGTTATATTTTTAGAATTGAAAACATTTTTAATTATACATTTTAGAAAGCATGGAACAAAATGATGTAAAATCAACAATGTAAAAAAAAACCTTTAAGAACGAAGAAGTGCAAACTAAATCATGAATCTTTAGTGTGATGAATCTTCTCATTCATTCAACACATACATATCGAGCACTGAAAGTGGAAAGCTAAAGAAATACGTCCTGCCCACGCAGGAACAGGGAGTAGTTTCTGGTGATGGCAGAAGGAGGGGGGACAGGACTCAGACTGTAAGACTGTGTTTCTCAGCATGGTTTTTGTTTTTGTTTTTTAGATACTATAAATTCCCAACCAGTAGATTATTTAAACTATATAGAGATGGCAGATATAAATCCAGGAAGTGGAATTAAAAATCTTAAATTCAACATTTGAAGTGATCATCTTTAAAATGGCTTATTATTATGGAACAAATTCCTGAATCATACCGCAAAATCACCAGTGAAAAGCGTTGTGTGTACTAAATTCAAACTCAGTTTATTTTTCCATTATGATAAGTAAGAAAAAACTCTCTTACACAGTCGATTTTAGACATTTAGTTTGCCTTCCGAGCAGTTTTTAGCTACAGGAAATTGAAAGGACTTGGCGGAGGCAGGACAGAGTTTCTGACCGGTCAGCTCTCTGGTCCTTCGTCTCCCTCTCAGTGCGTCGTGAACACCAAGGTCGCTTCTGCGCGAGGGACAGCGCCACCACGTGGTCCGCATTGCAGTGTGCGCAGATTTCGTCAACCTCCAGGAGTTGAGGAAAATCGTTTTGCTGTGTTTTCTTACCTTTCATGCTCTTTAATTTTTTGGTTTATCTTTTATTAGTTGATGCTTTCTAGTTAAAATGAAGTATGATTTCTTCTGTGACTTTTGTTAGTGTTCATTAATAATAATCCTTTGTACTTTGATCTCTAGGAGAATCAGGGGCTCCTTAAAAATATGTTCAAAATCAGTTATTTTTGAACCAGATACAATATCCCAGCCCATCATTAAGGTAAATGCACTGTAAAAATACATTTCTGTTGTTTGTGTATATTTTACCTTTGCCTACTTTTATATTTCTCTCTTAATTTTATGCAGATTCCGTTGAGAGACTGTATGAAAATAGGGAAACATGGAGAAAACGGAGCCAATAGACACTTTGCAAAGTATGTCATTGTCACTAACTATTTAATTTTACTTCTACCAAAAATGTGTATATGTTTAATAACTTTTATCTGCATTTTAGGGCAAAATCTGGGGGGATTTCACTCATTTTCAGTCAGGTAAGAGTCATACAATACATATTTTGTCCTGACCTGAATGAACATTTCCTGTGTGTGTGTGTATGTGTGTGTTTAAGCATGATTAAATTGTAGGAATCTCAAATGAAGCCATTGAAATAGATGAAATGCCTTTAAACAATTTAATCACTGAGAAATAAATTTTTTAAGAAGATGTGATCCCCGCTGAGATCCTCGGTGTTTACTAAGTGTGTGACGCCTGTGGGCTGAGGCTCCATCTTCAGGGGTCCTGGCCGTGTTCGAGGGTTGAGGTGACGGGGTGGCAGTTGCTCCCCTGGCCTCCTGGTCATTTACTGGAGGGGAGGCCAGCGGCACGCCACTTCAGTGGGCCTCAGCTTGACTCGTGGTGACAACCACGGCAGTGACTCAGGATGTGTAGCCACGTACAGTTGTGGTGCTTGGGGTCGTGACTTTTTAGTCATTCCTTGTTTACCTGGTGCACATACATTTATGCACCCAGTACTGCGCTTGGGACTGGCAATACAGGCATAAATTAAAACATAGTTTTTCTCCTGTCATATAGTTGATTTGTGTGTAGATTTTTGAAAATTTGTAAAGAAAGGAGTAGAGATTATCTGCCACTTCCTTTTGGCTCTGGACTTCTTCTTCACCTTTAAAATGAAAGGGTTAGAGGAGATCAGCGTTGCCTCAGCTACCAACTAGAGCCCTGGTTCCTTGGAGTGTTCAAAGAAAAATCTGTGTGTGATCAAGTAAGTGTAGGGAAACAAAGATACACAGATTTCTTTCTTTCAGGACGTGACTCAAAGCCTTCACATACAGAAGTGCATTGAGAGTCTCAGGGACACATGGTTAGGGCAGAGCGCGCTCCCAGTGGTGTTCACATTGCCGAACCCTTTGGCCGTGGAACCCTTTTTACTGTGTGCTGAAGATTGTGTAGTGAAAGCTGGGAGATGCCAGATGAGGCGATTCTCCAGGTCTGCATCCATGACTCCATTAATTTTAAGGAAGAACACATTTCACAGGCTCTCTTTGGCTTTATACTGTTGTAACTGGCAGACATAAAGCAGCTGCAGCCACCTGTTACTGTGAAGGGAACACCATGGTTAATCATTCCGGTCTGCCCCTGTACTCTCCTTGTTTCTATAGTATCGTTCAACATCAAGGTCTCATTCTAGAAAGTCTGTGTCTTGAAAGGAAGAAGTACTTTTTCCGTTGGAAGTGTGGTTTTCATTAGAAAACTATACATTTTGGTAAAACTTGAATAACTTTAGGCTTAGAAATAAAGCCCAAAAGATCTTTCCACCCTCTTAGTAGTTTATAGAAGACGTCTCAAATCAGACAAAGTCAAGATCAGCCTAACACCAAGGGGGGACCAGACACAAGCTACTCTTTTCAAGTTTTATTTTAAGCTTCCTGGGCGTTAAGTACGCAACCAAGAAATGTAACTTATATATTTTATTATTATCTGCTAGTTTACAGTGTTTCAGAAATACAGTAGCCTCCTCTCATCTGGGGGGATAACTGCAGACCCCCCATGGATGCCTGAAACCACAAGTAGCCCTGAACCCTGTGTACGCCATGTTTTTCCTGCACGTGGTACGTTTTCACGCAAAGGAAGACTTTACAGCTTCTCTGTGGCCTGTCCTAATTGCCAGCGTCACTACTCTTGTGCTCTGAGGCCATTACTAAGTGCAGTACGGGTGACTTGAGCCCGAGCGCTGGCAAACCGAGCCGGCCTCTGACAACCAAGGCGGCTCCTGAGTGCCCGATGGGGGGGCCGTGTGTGCAGTGTGGGCAGGCTGGACGAAGGGATCGTTCGCACCTGGGCGGTTTGGGGAGGGAGCACATAAGCTTTCACACTGCTTCTCAGGACAGCACACAGTTTAAACACAGGAATTGTTTAGTTCCCGTTTAGTGTTTCCAGACCAAGGTTGCCTGCAGGTAACCAAAACCACGGGCAGTGAAACCATGGACACGGAAGGACTACTGTGCATGAGGTTCCTTAGGGTTTAGGGAGTTTTGCTTCCCAATTTTCTTTTACTGGTAGTTTAAAGAGGGTGTGTGTGTGTGTGTGTGTGTGTGTGTGTAAATAATAGTTTTAATTCATGTACTCAGTAAGTATTCAAGATTTGAGAGCTATAGGGAAGAACAAAACTATCCGAAGCCCCTCTCCCTATGGATTTTTACTTTTCACTGGGGGAACAGACAAGGAGCAAATATCTTCTCTAATGTCAGGTAGTGATAAATGTCATGAATAAAATGGAAACAGGGCAAAAGGATGGGCTCTGATAAGGGACACATGCTACTCCAGGTAGGATGGTCAGGGGTGCCTGGCTGGGAAGGTCCCACGTGAAGGCACACGGCTCCGAGGGCGTGAGGGAGTGAGCCACGCGGTTATCGGGAGAAACGGTGCCTTGGGCAGAGAGCGGCAGGGCTGAGGCCCAGAGACACGGGTGTCCGGGCAGCTGGGAGGCGCGTGAGGGTGAGTGCGGGAGTGGGCAGAGGGCCAGGGGGGCAGGCTAGAGCAGTGGCAGAGACCCTGGCATGGAGGGCCTCGTGGGCCACAGTGGGGAGTTAGCGTGAAACCCAGAGGAGAAAAGCCGTTGGAGAGCTGACACAGGAGGGGTGTGATCCGATCGGTGTGTATCTGTAAATCTCTCACTGAGCAGAGAATATGCTGTAGGGGGCAGGGATGGAAGCAAGGGTGTTTGTTCCGAAACCAGGTGTTTTAGACCAGGGTGCCAGCAGTAGAAGGGTGAGGGGTGGTCAGTGTCTGGATATATTCTGAATAAAACCCTAACAGATGTGCTGGGGGGCCAGTCCCAGCTCAGCAGTGCCCTTTATTGTGATAAAGAAGCAGGCAGTGTTTAGAATGGGACCTCTCGGAGGAGAAGTCTGGCAGGCCTTCAAAAGCACTCGCCCAGGCTTCAGGGACCCTGAGGCCAGAAAGATAAAGTGGAAGTCCGCAGTTCCAGACACTTTTGTAAGCCCTGGGACGGGATGAGGTTTCCCTGAGAGACTGAGTGTGGCCAGAGAAGCCCGAGGAGGCCCTGCGGAGAGCAGAGAGCACTTTGTAACATAAGAGGTTGCGAAGGGAGCGAGGTTGGAGGGAAGACAGGAGGAGCAGCTGGTGAGGTCAGGGAGAACCAGGAGCAGGTGGCGGGGGAGCCAAGTGGAAAACTGCATCAGGCAGGGCCATCAGCTCTGTCACGCGCTCTGAGAAACAGTCAAGGAAGTCCTGAGAAGGGACTCTTGGATGTGGTGACATGGAGATCCCGTGCGTCTTTTATGACCTCCTCGGGAGTGGTCTTGGCAATGTGGTGTGCGTGAGAACTTCTCCTGGGCCCAAGAGAGAGTGAGTGGGCTCTTTCAAAGCGTTTTGCCACAAAAAGGAACACAGGCTTGGCCAGAGGAGGATGGACACCATGGACAGTTTTTTACAGTCGTTTGTATCCAGTGGGAGAGACTGCAGTGCATAATCGTGGGGCAGAGTTTTTGGTGGGGGAGGTCCACATTCTGTACTCTAGTGCAGGCTCTGGTTTCTGAGAGACCGGGAAGACCCTCCATCACAGCAGGAGAGAAGGCAGGGAGAGACGTTCAAGTGCGAGCAGACGGTTGGCCTGGCAGTGGGGGCGCTTGTCTGATGTCGGTACTAACACACGGTGTGAGGACGGGTGGCCCGGTGCCTGTAAGAACACTGAATCCAGGTCACCTCTAGGGAAGAGAAGTTTCTTTGTGTGGATGAATGTACTTCATGCCATACTGATTTGTTTTACTTCTCTAAGTGCCCATTTTTTAGAAAACGGGCGCTTAGATTAGCTTCCTTCACCTGTCTGCTTGGTTACTTGGTACAAATAATGACATTCATGAAACATCTTAGCTATTTTACTTATCTAGTAATGGTTGATGCCATGTTGCCTTGATGCATCTCTTTTTAATTTAATATTTGGTATTTCAACATCAGAAACTTAAAGCTCTACTAATATTAATGTAAGTGCTTTTGGAAGTTGGAGATTATGTAACAATGATTTCAATTCAATGATAATACCTGAACTTATAGTAACTTATTACTATGACAATTTTTATTTTACAATTATTGATTTGTCCCCCCCAGGTATATTTCATTAAAGAACACAACATTGTTGCACCATATAAAATAGAAAGAGTAAGTAAAGCTTTTCACTTGTTCCCACACATTAATATAGTGCTTTTTACAGTAAGACTTTGTGACTCTATTAACATCTTTAATCTTTAATCAAATGTAATAATAAGGGGTATTTAAATGCCTGTTGCCTAGCAGTTATAGCAGAACTACCCAAGGGAATCAAATATTTTAGTCCAAGAGATTTCAATTACCTTTTGATTTAAGAAAATATGTTTAATAGGCAAAAAAAAAGCTTGAATTACTAGAATAAAAATTGAAGTCAGAACATACATCATTTATAAGATTATTTACTGGGTATTGTTGAGAATATGGGTTATAAAATACCCTTACTTGAGAACGCAGTAATAAGTTGTAAAGTCTCTTAACCGGGTAGGAGTAGACGTGAATGCAGTCCCTGGATTTCTAGGACTTGTCGAGTAAGCATAGACACTACGTTTAATCATTCAGCGTTTTATTTTCTTCTTTATGCTTCAGCTTAATGGATAGTAAGGGGATAATTCTACCAAAAGAGAATCTTTACAGGACCTAGAGACGGGGCTAGTACTCCTCGTGATGACACCGCTGTGCATTAGGAGCAGTCACCCTCTCTGGGGAGACGCAGGCTCACGGCCGAGCCTCAGCCCCACCTCAGGTGTGCGCAGGTGCTCTGCCGGCGGCCTGTGGAATGCACACACCACCTGCCCTGGCCTTTGGGTTATATGTACAAGAGACTGCTGCATGCTCCTGTTAGTAAATACTGAGATGTAATTGCTCTCAGATGGTGCTGTTGGCATTCGGGGCAGGCTAGTTTTTTATTGTGTGGGGCTGTCCTTATTACAGCCTGTTCAGCCACTAAGTGCCCTAATACACTGTCCCCCCATTGTGTGGAGCACCTGCACAGCCCCCCCAAGTTGAGAACCCCTGCCTTTAGAGGGGTGCTCTCCCTGTAAAGGCTCTCCTGATAGCCTCCTGAAGTGCAAAGCTGCACTTGGTTCATTGAGAAATTATGTAAAAAGAAATGAGCCAGATTGCCTGAAGCAAAGAAAAAGTCTTTTGTTCAATGTGAGTTGGAAAACCAGGGGATTCTCAGTCTTCAAAAGTCTCGGCGGGTGGGCAGATGGGGACATCAGGATGACAATGAGAGATACCAGGTGAGGAAGCCGCAGACCCTTGTTTTCTCTCGCGGAGACACTTCAACAACCATACATGGACCAGTTTCCTTTGTAAGAAATTCGAAACCAGTTAAGAGCCTGCTGCACTCCAGGTCAGCAGAAAGCCAGCCTCACTGAAGCTGGTGGGAAGATTCCTGGCCTCCCCCCAGCACAGTGCCTGACGGTTGGGAGGCAGTTCCCAGCTCTGAACTTTTCCCTGGGGAGGGAGAGAAGACCCTGGACCATCTATGTCCAATGTTCTGAGTTTTGGGGGCATCTGACTTTTGGAGCCAGCTGCCTGAAGGACTGGCTCCGTCTCGCCTATCTTGGGGCATTGCCATGAGATGCCTGAGGACCACCAAAGGCAAGAAAGAGCAGGGCCTCCTGCTGCGGCTCCAGAGGAGCTGCGGTGCACCAGACAGCGGCCAGGGCAGCTGAGCAGACTCCCGCAGGGGAGAAAGAAGCGTGTGTGACAGACAAAATTAACCATCACGGCATATAAGCACCCAGCCTCGGTATATGCACCCAGAGAGATGAAAGAAACACTGACAGAGTTGGACGGAGAAATTGGCAGCAACACGGTAATAGTAGGAGACTTCATACCTCACATTCAATAATGGACAGAACATGGAGACAGCAGATGAATTAGGAAACAAAGGACTTCACACTATAGACCAGGTGAACCTAACAGACACAAAGAACGTCCTTCCCAACATCAGCAGAACACACCTTTTTCTTAAATACGCATGGAACAGTCTTTAGGGTTGATTGCGTGTTAGGTCACAAAACCAATCTTAACTGACTTTTTAAAAAGATTGAAATCATACCAAGTCTTTTGCAACCGCAGTGCAATAAAACTAGGAAGCCATAGCAGAAAGCAAATTCACAAGGATGTGGAAATGAACACTCTTGAACAACCAGTGAGTCAGAGGAGAAATATAAGGGGAAATTTTAAAATATCACAAGACAAACGCAAACACAACATACCAAAACTTGTAGGATGCAGCAAAAGCAGCGCTAAGAGGGAAGTCTATAGTGATATGTACCTATGATAAAAAAGAAGAATGATCTCAAATCTTAAAACCCAGCTACACACCTGGAGGAACTAAAGAGACCAGCAAACTAAGCCCAAAGTCAGCAGAAGCAAGACCGTGATAAATAGAGCAGTAAACCCCATAAATAGAGCAGTAAACCCCATAAATAGAGCAGTAAACCCCGCAGGCTGCTCCCGGGCTCCTTCCTGGGGGGCGTGTGGGAGGACACAGCGGGCGGGTACAGGCGGCGTTCAGCGGGGAGCTGCCGACGCTCTTCAAGGACTGTGTTTTGACGTGCTCCTTTCCTTCTTTTGGTTCCATTTCTTTCTCTTTCTTTTTAGGGCAAAATGGAATATGTCTTTGAATTGGATGTTTCAGGGAAAGTGGACGATGTTGTGGAGACGTTGCTTCAGGTAAGCCAGTGCCTCACCCGGGCATATACTGGGCAGAGAATTCAAAACAAACTTCGGCAGAAACTTCTTTTTCAAATTGTATATTTTTACATCTTACTGAAACCTTAATCTCTTTTATAAATATGAATGCGATTTACTTTGATTATGTTGAATTTGAAAACTGTATATAAGGAAGAGGCCATACATATTATCAGAAGCAGTCTTAACTGTTACTAAGTAACAGAATGATTGCTGCTTCTCATTGCCTCTGAGGAAGTATCTTCATATCATCTGAGAGAAAAATAAATTCATGTATATTTATGATGTTGTAGCTTCACAGAGCATCCTGCCTGGACAAACTAGGGGACCAAACTGCTATGGTAAGAGTTTCCAAAGATCTGTATCTTCATTATAAATTAACTGGTATTGATTTTTACTTATAAATACTTATATCCATCCTTTTAAACTGATTCTGTTTTAATAGATAACAGCTATTTTGCAATCACGTTTGGCTAGAACATCGTTTGACAAAAACAGGTAAGTGTTTAATGGTTTTGTTTACCGGGTGCGAAGGCAGCAGACATCTTCTGTGGGCCCCACTCAGCATGTCTAGCACTGAGGTTACCACCTGCCTGCCCCAGACCTGCTTCTCTTAGAGAAGGGCCCGCCTCGAGCAGGACCAGTGTCGGGGGCTTCCTCCACTCTTCTCCGCCCTGGCACCTGGCAGTCGGGCCTGCAGACTGATGCCCTAAGATCTTTCTACACTGCCAGCTTCTGTCTTTTCACATTGTTACTGCCTCAGTCCAGGCCACCACCACCTCCCACTCAGACCACTGTGACAGCTTTCAGCTTGTCTGCCTAACTGCAGTCTTCCCTTCGCTAGTCTTTTTTTCCCCCAATACCTATTGTAGTTTTAAAGTATGTTCTTTCTAAAGAAGTTATTTAATTGTGTCACTGTCTATTTGAACTCTTCAAGACTTACCATTGCCTTCAGTGTAAAATCTTAACCTTACTTGGCACACAATCATTTATGGTCCAGTCCTCGTCCACTACTTTGAGTCACTGATTGCCCTTGAATTCTGTGCTCCCACTCTTTGCATTACATGCGGTTCCTGCGTGTGCCACACGGTCTCTCACCTCTGAGCCTCAGTACATGGTGGCTCTGCTGAGAGCGCTCAGCCTCCTTCCTCGTTTGCACCTGGCTCACTCTTCCATATTCTTCTGGTTTCCGCTCAGCTGTCCGCTTTTCTGGGAAGTCTTCCTGACCCTTCAGACTGTGATCACCTTCCTGAGGTACCCTATAGGCACCAAGACACTATATATTTTTTACTGGTCTAATATGTTTTGTTATTTTCTAAGCTTTTCTAAGAATACAGTATATATTCTGAAAACAGTTTTACTTTATTTTTTAATGTTTTATTGTTTATGCTATTACATTTGTCCAATTTTTCACCTTTTATTCCCTTCCACCCAGCTTGCTTCCCACCTGTAGTCAGTTGCCACACTGTTGTCTTTGTCCGTGGGTCCTTCATACATGTTCTTTGATGACTCCCTTTGCCTTCTTTCAATCAGTCCCCACCTCTCCCCTCCCCTCTTACAGCTGTCAGTCTGTTCTGTGATCCTCTGCCTCTAGTTCTATTTTGGTCATTAGTTTCTTTTATTCATTAGATTCCCCTTACAAATGAGGGCATGTGGTACTTGTCTTTCACCAGCTGACTTATTTCGTTTAGCATGATAGTCTCCAGTTCCATCCATGCTGTTGCAAAAGGCAGGAATTCCTTCTTTTTTTAAATTTTTAATTTTTGCTGCATAGCATACCAGTGCGTAAATGCACCACAGGTTTTTTTACCCACTCATCTACTGGGCAAAGGATTTGAATAGGCACTTCTCCAAGGAGGACATACAGAGGGCCCAGAGACATATGAAAAGATGCTCAACACCACTAGCCATCAGAGAGATGCAAATTAAAGCCACGGTGAGATACCACTTCACACCTGCCAAAACTGCTATGGTTAATAAATCAACAAACAACAAGTGCTGGCGAGGATTCGAAGAAAAGGGAACCCTAGTGCACTGCTGGTGGGACTGCGGACGGTGCAGCCACTCGCATGAAGTTTCCTCACAAAATTAAAGATGGAACTACCGTTTTGACCCAGTGATTCCGCTACTGGGATTATACCCTAAGAATCCCAAAACATCAATTCAAAAGAATTTATGCACCCCTATGTTCATAGCAGTGCTATTTACATTAGCCAAGATTTGGAAACAATTACACTTTAATATTAACCTGTTCTCCTATTTGTTTCGTACCTTATCTTAGGTAAATTTCCTTATATTAGGTGCATTTGGGTTATTCGTTCACACCTTCATCTGCAGTATTACAGTATTAATTACTGTAGCTTTATAATCACTGTCCTTGACATGTGGTAGTGCTGGTCCCATGCCTTATTGCTTTTTAACCGTGTCCTCACTGTTGTCCGTCCTGTGCACTTCTAGATAAATTTAGAATCAGCTTGTTAAGGTCCCTAACAGAAGGCCTGCTAAGATCTTGATTGTAACTGTAATGAATGTCTCCATTTACTCATGTCTCTTCGGTAATGTCTTCCTTATGATTTTTGTCTTACAGTTCTTTTTTGTGCTAGATGTATTCCAAGTACTTCATATTTTTGATGGTGTAATAAATTCTATTCTGAAAATTTTTATTTTCTGTTCATTGTTTATTTAAAGAATGCAGTAGATATTTTTGTATTCATTTTGTTTTCAGCAACCCTGCTAAACTTTGTGATCAATTTCATTAACTTTATATGTAGGTTCTTTAATATGTACAGAATCTTATATATGAATTATTGCAGTCTATTCACCAGATAACATTTGTATTTTATATTTTTGCATTTGTAATCATTTCAGCTTAGGACAAAGTAGAAAGTACTGGTTGAATAGAATCATTTATAGATTATTATATGCTAGGCTTTTGCTAGAAGCTTATGTTTATACATGAGATTAATTTGTAGTATTCTGTTTTGTCGCTGTTTCTGTGAGATCTGTGACTGCTAAAGCTTGCCCGTAAAGCCATCTGGCCAGTGATGTGTTCTCTGTTTCAGTTTGCTTCCTTTTCGGTTTCGCCTGTGTGGCACTCACTTCCATTTTTGTACTTGTAGGACATACTAGGCGAGTAGATTGCCCTGGAGAATAGCTTCCATTTTAGAAAGGAAAAGGAATAAGAAGAACTAGCTTCTTTGACCTACTTAAAATACATGTTTTCTTTCCTTTTTTTTTTTTTTTTGCTGTGCCTATCACTCTTTATTTTTTTGTATTTTCCCCATTACCATTTATCCCCGCTACACCCTCTTCCACCCCCACCCACTCCCGCCCTCACCTCCCTGTCGTCCGTGAGTCCTTTTTCCCCTTCGCTCCACCCACCAGCCACCCCCCACATTTTTTTCTAAGTAGCAGTTTAGACTTCAGTCCCAAGCTTCAGTATAACATTACTTTAAAAAATTGTTCACTATGAAAGTTTTAATTTATCCAGTCTTTAAAATGTCAGAGTGAAGAATTTGGGGAAGAAATTTTTACAGTATAAAATGAGATATTCCAGTATTGTATACTTCCTTTAAAAGAAAGAAGGTAAACATTTTGCTGAAAAATGCAAGCTTTTATCATATTTCTGAGGAAATATTTTTATTGAAGAAATAAAGTATAACTACATTTATTTTTTCCTATTGTCCATTATGGAAAGTTTAAATCCTTGCAAGTTGAAAGAATAATATTATGATCACAGATACTCTTAATCACCAGGTGTTAATTTGTTAATATTTTGCCAAAGTTGTCTTAGTTTTTACATGTTTATATTCTAAGTCACTTGCTCTGTGTGTGTGTATATATATATGCATGATGTATGTATGTCTGTATATATGTATATGTGTTGTATGTATATACAGGTAATATGTATATGTGTATGTGTTTGTATTGCATATATACAATAACATACATGAGTATAATTTTTTGGGAACCGTTTGAAATTGGATTGCCAGGCATCTTGACTCTTCACTCATAACTTCTTCACCAGGCATCTGTCCCAAGGGTACTTCGGACATTCCTCCATACAGTTAGAGCACCCAGGTGGTAGTGATTTTATATAATGTCATGTAATTTACAGTTCCATATTCAAGTGTCCCCATCTGTACCCAAGATGCCCTTTTTACAATAGTTTACTTTGGAATGACTTCAGATTTAAAGGAAAGATGTAAACCTAGTACAGTTCTCTCACCCCTCACTGGGGTTCCCCCCGGGACGTGTTTAGTGAGACGATGCTGCCACCTTTTGTTGAGTGTGTTCCTGGATTTGTGATGTTTGGGATGTTGCTGAAATTTTATTTTTCAACTCTTTGTTACTGGAATATAGATACACAGTTGGGTTTGTTTTTACATTGACCTTGTATCTTATGATTTCCATATTCACTCATCAGTCCTAGTGGGTTTTTTGTAGATTCCATTGAGTTTTCTGTGTACATAGTCATTTAATCCATGAATAATGATAGTTCCATGGAAATCCTGATGGCTTTTACCCCTACTCCCTGCCTCATTGCACTGTGTCAGTAACGTGGTAAGAGTAGACATTCTCGCATTGTTCTTGCGATGCTAGAAAGGGGTTTAATGTTTCACTATTAAATGATGCTAGCAGTAGCTTTTTTATAGATGCCTTTTTTCACAGTGAGGAAGTTCCTTTTTATTCCTGGTTTACTGAAAGTATTTTTGATAACAGGCTTAGAATTTTATTAACTAATTTTCCTGCATTTATTAGGATGATCATTTTTTTCTTTATTCCGTTGCTAATGTGAATCATATTGAGTCTCCAATATTAAACCAAGCTTGTATTCATGGGATACGCCCAACTTCGTCACACTGTGTCTAATTAGTACCCTTTTCCCGTGTGGTTGGAGACGCTCGGCCAACATCCTGGGAAGGGTGTGTGCATCTGAGCTCATGGGAGCGGCTGCTCTGTGCATCTTCGTGTACTTGTCAGCATTTGCTGTCGCCAGGGGGTCGCCAATATTATTACCCATTTCAAAGAACCAGCTTTTTGGCTCCGTTGATTTTTCTCTATTTTTCCATTTTACATAAGATTGGTTTCCACTCACGATTTCCTTCCTTCGGCTTACTCTGGGTTTGACATTTTTGCGTACCTGCTGTGGGGTCCCGGTCTGGCTTTCTCTCTCTCACCCTTCGGCCCTTGGGCCCTGCAGCGGCAGGTTGCTCCTCCTCCGGCCACTCGGCTGTTGGCCCCTTCACTCGAGGTTCTTTGCATCTTCAGGCTTCTGGTGGTTTTTTAAAAATAATGAGGACTGCATAGTTTATCTGGCTGGGATTCGTTGTTAGTGTGAGAGGGGTGAGGGCTCCTTTACCCCCTCGCTGGGAGAGGAAGGTGACCTAGCATCCTTTTCATCTTGTTACTTATGATGGAGATTTTTATTTTTATTTTTAACTCAATTATTTACTACTAAGTAATTGTCTATTTTAAAATATTGATTATTTCTTTGTTTCCCCTCTAAGTTATTTTTCATTAGTAAAGCAAGAAGACCGTGGACTTTTTGACTGTTAGAATAACTTATAAGGAGGTGGTAGAGAAATCATCTTGGATTGGCTTTACTGCAGTACATCCACGAAGGGACATACAGCTGACACTTGAATAATACGGGGAGTTCAGGGGACAGTCCCCTGCACAGCCAAACACCCACATGTAACTTCGACTCCCCCAGAGCTTAACTGCTAATAGCTGCTGGTGACCTTACTGACAACAAAGTCAGCTAACACGCACTTTGTATGTTATAGGTATATACCACGTTCCTACAATAAAGTAAGCTAGAGAAAAGAAAATGTTATTAAGAAAATCACAAGAGAAAATACATTTACAGTGTTTACTGAAAAAATCCTCATGTAAATGAACCCTCATAGTACAGACTGTGTTGCTCATGGGTCAGCTGTGAGAACAGCTACTTGGGAACTGATTCAATTGATCGTAGTTACGTATTTATAGCCTTATGAAGTGTGTACTGTGAAATAAATGCAACCTGTGCAAAAACAGCCTGTGTGACTATAAAAGTAGGCCTCGATGACACAAGAATGAAAATGTTGTTAATTTAAGAATAGTTTCAATGTCAGTTTATTTTGGAAGAAATAAGAGTTGAGCTAAGGGATTACTTGGCTTCACTTATCTATCTTTCCTTCCATAACACATAACCTCATCTGTTTTTGAAAAATTGAATTTTCATGATACCATTTGAAAGAGTGTCAGTTTTATTTAAGCAACCAATTTATATTACCATTTATTTTGTATTAAATCATTGTTTAGACAAATTTTATGTAAAGCCAAAGGTAACTCAAAGGTAAATCAGAAAGTAGATCAATTTCTGTTTTGTTTTGTTTTTTTTGCTTTTGCTGAAAATCATCAGATTCCAAAATGTTTCTGAAAAGCTGCACATGGAATGCAAGGCAGAAATGGTGACCCCTCTGGTGACCAATCCCGGACACGTGTGCATCACTGACACAAGCCTGTACTTTCAGCCCCTCAATGGGTACCCGGTAAGTGAAGACTGCAGGTCAGGTGGGGAGCTCCTTTAGCGCTGGGGTGTTCACCTGTGCTCTCTGCCCCGCAAACTTGACTGCACCACCAGAGATCTCGTTTTTAGAGAGGATCAGAAATTCCCTCCCCCAGCCCCTCCATCATCTGTGTCTTTACCAGTCTCCCTGTGTAAGCCTAAGGAATCCGGGTTTGAGTTTTCCCCATCAGTTTTCATTTGGGAGCTACTTGTTCTCGGTGTTGTGAAAAGAAACCCTGCGCCTCCCAATTTTATTAGTAAAGGGTCGTGAGAGTTGTGTGCCTTTCTGTTTGGAGACACTGCTGAGCCAGACAAATGAAATAGGCTGAGATTAAGAAATGAATGTTTTATGTGTATCTGTGTGTACCTATGCCTGTGTTGGTACTTGCTTTTCCTTTATTACCAGCAAAATCAGGTCTGCATCTTCCCCAAAGAAGCAGTGTGAAGGGGTCCTCACCCAGCTAGGGCAGAGGTGCATGCAGACAGAGATGCTGCAGTTGGCAGCTGTGGTGCTGCTACTGCGAGGGAGGAGCCGGTGACAGTAACAGTGGACTCAGATACCTACACGAAATTGTGTGAAGATGTGTGGTTTTAGATCTGGCGCCTTTTGGAAGTGCTTCATTAAAAGGACAGATATCCTGATACAATCTAATGGTGCCATTGGCAGGGCAGCTTAAAGAACAGGAGTGTTTTTTTGCCATAGACGGCTACACCTTGGAAATTCTCCAGGCTGGTCACTCATTATATGCCCCTAAAATGTCTCAACTTTCATTAAGTGAAAGATGATGCTATAATAAATTCTGTCCACCAGGTGGTGGGGCACACTCACCAAACCCTCCAACAGAAGCAGTGGACATTGCTGGTGGGCATTCTCTAGTAATGTAATAAATTGGCTTGACCGTTACTGTTACTATAACTTGGGGCCAGAAACCTTTGGAAAAATATTTCAGTATGTGCCGTGGCTTCAGGATTCATAGTATGGGCATTGGTCCCTTCCACTCAAAAAGAGGAATGAACTTGTCACCTTTTAGCCAATCTCATTGCCTTTTCTAACCTCCTTCCTCCTGCTAACGTTTTAAGGTTCTAGAGAGGCAAGAAAATTGCCCTCCTCATAAAAAGATTAGAGGCCCTACTTTATACTACACTATAGTTTTTAAGGAGACAAAAGACAGGATCCTAAAAAATGGTGAGTCAGTACTAAGCAAACCATTGCTCTATAAAATTAGGGAAATTCCTGAGAGGTTATCTATACCAATTAATATTCCATATCATGTAACAGCCTTGCCTTAACCTGAAAGATGAATGCATTACCATATTTTTTATTGGTACCAATGGAAGTAGGGAGACTTTTCCAAGGTCATAAAGTGAAAAAGGGCCAACTAGAATGTGAAACCCAGATACGCCTTGTTTAAGGACTTCCTTTCCAGTTGTTCACTTTGTAACACATTGCGAATGCAAGATTTGGTCATTTTTCTGCTTTCTGATACTAAAGATCAACTTTTAATTGGGTCAAGATTTTGACGTGTGAGGCTGTGGTTTTATTTTACAGAAACCTGTGGTCCAAATAACACTCCAGGATGTCCGCCGCATTTACAAACGGCGGCACGGGCTCATGCCTTTGGTGAGTTCAAGTGGAATGCGAGTGGAATGCGAGTGGAATGTGAGTTCTAGGTGAATGATCGTCCTATTTTCAGTTAACCCGGGGGTTTATTAGCTTGTAAACACCGATTGGCCTGTCGGAAGGTGTGTGTTGTATTGTAAGCAAGTGGACTCTGAGTCCTGCTGCTCCTTCTTTTGAATGAGCTAGAAATTCATAAAGGAATAGCTCCTTTCTCTACATAAGCAGTAGGTTGTGCAAATGTTTTTGGCTCCAAGAGCAAGAAGAGTAGGGAGCGCTGCTTTGTGTTTCCCACTCCTGTGTCCTCAGAGGTTCCAGGTTTATGCAGCGATAATGTGTGCAGAGTCATCGATCCGGTGTGGCTTGCCACCATCTGCTCACAGCAGCTAGGTCTCAGAGTAAGACTGGGGAGCTAGTGCAAAATTAACTCTTCACTGGAACTGTAGTAGCTTCACAGTTAGCTTATATTAATTTAACCTTCAGTTTGGTAAGTGAGAGAAATGAATAAAATAACCAATGAAATCATGTGGGCAATTCTTCCCTAAATAAACATGTTAGCCTTACATGCTTGGAAACCAGTCCCTGTAAGGTATGATTCCAAGGTGTTTCAACTTGACATCAATATAAACCCATTTGTTCTCCTTTAAAGATTAGCCAGTAACCTGGTAGCATTACAAAAGCACTGTGGAATTTTAAGCACCTCATTTTTGTTTCAAATAGATGAAATTTACCTGTTTTTCTACCTATTTAACTTAAAAGGCTACTATTTCTAGTGCTAATAGAGGATTATGGAACCATATTATTAAAACTCTCCATTGAGTGTAGAGATACAGTTAAAAAAAGAAATTGACATTAAGTATCTTTTGCATCCTGGGCAATTTGTGTACAATATTTTGTTATCATGACAGTCCCTATGAGGTAGATGATGTCTTGTTTTATAAGGAAATCGAGATTCTGCCCTGGCTAGTGTGGCTCAATGAATTGTGTGCCAGCCTGCAAACTGAAAGGTCGCTGGTTCAATTCCCAGTCAGGGAACATGCCCGGCTTGTGGGCCAGGTCACCAGCATGGGGCACATAAGAGGCAACTGATTGATGTGATCTCTTGAACATCATTGATTTCTCTCCCTCTATTTCTCCCTCCCTTCCCTTTTCTTTAAAAATAAATAAATAAAATATTTTTAAAAATTGAGATTCTAAGAGTTCATTTCCTCTGTTCCTTAGCTTAACTAGTAAATGGTGAAAGCCTGTATTTGTACCAGGGACAGTCCTGCTTTTGTCATTTGTTTGCCTATTCCTGTCCTGTCTCCGCCTTACCAACACAACAGCCCCAAAGCTCATAGTTTTCTTAAGAATAAGTGCAAGTTACTAGTTACATTGTTATCAGTTTATTAGATTGACATGTTATAAAAGGAAGATAAACATTTCTGTTTGAAGAAGATAGGTAAGGACATGGATCAGCCAGTTTTGAATTCCAAAATCAAAATTCATGAAGTGTTTTATCAATAAAAATATTTAATACCAAAAGGGATTTTATAAAATTTAGAGATACAAGTCTTGTTCTCAGGAAATTTATACATATTTATATGTATATGCATCATTGAGTCAAATTTATAGCTGGGGAATATGAATACAAGACCTACAAGTAAAAAATGTAGGTGTTTCATGAAGAGATGCTCAATATCGTTAGCTATCAGAGAGATGCAAATTAAAACCACAATGAGATACCACTTTACACCAGTCAGGATGGCTATCATAAAAAAAGCAACAAACAACAAATGTTGGAGAAGTTGTGGGGAAAAGGGGTCCTTAGTTCACTGTTGGTGGGATTGCAGACTAGTACAACCATTATGGAAAACAGAATGGAATTTTCTAAGAAAACTAAAAATGGACCTGCCTTTTGACCCAGCAACTCCATCCCTAGGATTATATCCTAAGAACCCTAAAACACCAATTTCAAAGAACCTATGCACCCCAATGTTCATAGCAGCACAATTTACAATGGCCAAGAGCTGGAAGCAACCTAGGTGCCTGTCAGTAAATGAATGGATCAAAAAATTGTGGTGCATATACACAATGGAATTCTATGGAGCAGAGAGAAAGAAGGAGCTACTACCCTTTGCAACAGCACGGATGGAACTGGAAAGCATTATGCTGAGTGAAATGGGCCAGGTGTTGAAAGACAAATACCATATGATCTCACCTTTAACAGGAAGCTAAACAACAAAACAAACAAGCAAGCAGAATAAAAACAAAGACACTGAAATAGAGAACAAGGGGACAGCGACCAGAAGGGAGAGGGGAGGGAATTTAAGGGGAAAAAATGGGAGGGATTTAGAGGAACAAGTATAAAGGACACAGGGGCAATAACTAAGAGGGTGGAAATGGGAGGGAGGTGGGGAGCACGGGGCGGGGTGGGCTGGGATTGGAGAGATAGACAGAAAACTGTACTTGAAAAATAACTAAATAAAATTTTTTTTAAATGTAGGTGATTAGAAGGTTTTTGGAATTATAGCTTATATAGCAAGTGCATTATTAATAAAATGCTATTTGTTTTACTTATTTCTTCCTGAATTTATAGGGCTTGGAAGTGTTTTGCACAGAAGATGATCTGTGTTCGGACATCTACCTAAAGTTCTATGACCCTCAAGATAGAGATGACCTCTATTTTTATATCGCCACATATCTAGGTTTGGTGCTCACCTTTCATTGTATCTATTCATGGGAAGGCAGTCCAGCTCCTAAGTAACTGGGATAGGAAATAAGAGAAGAAAAAAGAAAAATGTTATATCTAGAATCACCTCTGTGTTTCTACTTACTTCATATTTTGTTATTAGTAACTATAGTTTTTAAGATAGCATTTTAAAAACTAGGGGAACAATAAATGAATTTTGGTAATAGTTCACTTCAATTGTGCATTTTAAAACTCTTGATAAACATATGTATTTATTTTTTACCTTAGCAACATACAAGTTGGATGGATTATGAGGACTCCACATGATTATTTTTATGTCCAATCATAACTTGTATTAGTTTATGAAAACCAAGGTTCAGTTTCTTAATGTGAGACACTGAGTTAGCCAGTCATTTGTGATCATTAACTGTGGTCTTAATTGTGAAGCTAGAAAAAAAAATGCAAAGGAACACTTGAACCTCTTGGCTCAGACTAATACCCATGGGACTGCATTTGTTTTTAATTAATGTTTCCTCAGTCTTTCATGTGAATTTGCCTACCTTTATTAGGAAGAACACTTGTATTTTTCTTTTCAAACATAAATATATTAAGTTTTGATGGCTGAATGATTTAATTCTCGTTTACAAATTTGCCAGATGACTGGAATAGAATGATTTTTAAAATTAGATTTTGGGACTATACTAATACCATCTTAATTTTATTTGCTGTTCTAGTGTGCAGTGAAGATATATAGTGTGCATTTATGAGATATATAGTGAAATACTCCCTTAGGAATGAAATTTTGTCTCTTAGGAATGAAATTTATTTTCAGTAAGCTATTGAGAATAGTTTATTTTCAGTAAGGAATATATGGTACTTTACAGTACGATTCGAGTTTTGGTGTTTTTCTTCTCACACTGAGCTAGCTATTCAGTTTTGCGTACGGCCCAAGTCAGCTCAGGTCTGGTCCCCGCAGAGCACCACGTCGCGGAGCGCACGGCCGAGAGCTACACGCTGCAGTGGCAGCGGGGCCACCTCTCCAACTACCAGTACCTGCTGCACCTCAACAACCTGGCCGACCGCAGCTGCAGCGACCTGTCCCAGTACCCCGTGTTCCCCTGGGTGCTGCACGACTTCTCCAGTGCAGAGCTGGGTGAGTGACCCGGGCTAAGTTTCTAAAGGGCAGGAAAACGTTCTGTTGTACAGTTATGATGTGATCTTCGGACACATTAGAACCCGTGTTGACTTTATTCGTAAAAATTGCAATTTTCATTTCAAGACACTGGGTAAGTGTTGCAAAAATTATGTGTTTTGTATGCTTTTCTACACTGCCTCTTAATTTTTTTTTTAATCCAGACAAAGTTCTCACATATACTTCTTAAAGACATAGCCGGATGATATGCATATAATTTTAAGCTCTATTATCATTACTATCCAGAAGTACCAAGTTTTGAAACACTGTAATTTCTCACTTTGAAAATTGTCTCAGATTATCCTGTTTTTAAATGTATGTTAAAAATGTGATTACGAAACTAATAACTATTCACTATAGGACATTGAGAATGAGCTGAAATATTTTAAAAAGTAAATAAGGAGATAAAAATCATAAAAATTACATTACTGAGAGGTAACCATTTTTAATTTTGTGTTATAAATACTTCTCTCAAATTATTTTAACAAAAAATAGTGATTGTACTGTGACTTTATTTTGTAATTTTAAATTATATATTGTGAGCCATAAATTACTTTTGACAGTTCACTTATTGAACCCTTGTACTTGAAAGAGATAACAGATTTTTTAGGAACCTAGTAATTTATTTCTCTGATAATATTTATGTCCCCACTTCTCAAATTATGCTATTATTACAGAATAATATATTCACTCTAATTCCAACTTAAAACACAAATCTTAATAGAAGAAAAATGACTTTTAAAATATGTGGGTTCCTTTGTTTTACTTGGAGTATATTTTTTTTGTCAGTAGGACTTTTAAAAAAATCAGTATTCTTGGTGTTTTCAAATTATTCTTCAATGTCTACTGCTAAATTAAAACTCAGAAGTTCTCATGTTTACAGCTGTATAAATGTCAGAAATACTATAATTCTAATGGATCTGTCTCAGTTTTTCAAAAATTATTTTGTGGGAATAAATGTGTGCATGTGAATCAGTTCAGGGAGGTGATGTTATTAAGTGTAAGCTTGCTTGCTTTATTTATTCTACTTAATTAATTTTTAAAATGTATTTGTTTATACAGATTTGTCAAACCCGGAAACCTTCCGGGACCTTAGTAAGCCAGTTGGAGCCCTAAATAAGGAGCGGCTACAGAGACTACTGGTACGTGCTGTAAGGATGCTTGGTCTGTAAGGCAATTCCTAAGTAAGCCATGCCTGTGTTTTTATAGTAAGTGGAACTCATTTAATCAAGATTTACGGGAAAATAGGTCCAGAGTGATCATACTGCTTTTTCTTACTCCCCTCCCCCTCTGCCTATTGCCTTGCCTTGTGAATTTAGCTGTTCACCATTTGCAGTTTTGCCTACAATTCAGGAAGTAGGAAGCTGATCTGATTTATATGAGCTTACTAACTTATTTTCACCAAGGTGCTCTCTGGTAAATTGCAACAGAGACTAAAATCCCTATTTCAGTCTAGCCCCAACATTGTTACCACTGTGCCAAGAAAACCAAATTCTTAACACGGGAATGGCATGTTTATTCACAGATTTCCCCCCTTCTTTTTATCTTTCCTTTTTCTTATTTGAGAAAGAAATTAAGGAGTATAATGTATGCATGCCATGATTTCTTTTAGGCTTTTACTACTTAAATCAGTGGTTCTGTTTAAGTCAGGTATTTTCATGCTGACGCTTAATGGTGTTTGTTTCCCGAATATTGTAGACACGCTACCAGGAGATGCCAGAACCAAAATTCATGTACGGCAGTCACTACTCCTCCCCGGGTTATGTGCTGTTTTATCTCGTTAGGATTGGTAAGGTTCTTTATCATTACCCAAGTCGGTGTTACTTCATGTGGATTCTTCAGTGAACCTGTATCTCAAAGCTCTGATTTTTTTCCCCTCTAGCACCAGAGCATATGCTGTGCCTACAGAATGGAAGATTTGATAATGCAGATAGAATGTTCAACAGGTTTGACATAAATGCCTTACCTACCATTTTTTAAACTTTCTAATTATATGTGCACAGCATGTTTGTTTCAAAGAACCTGTTGTCACCAAAAATGTAAAGATATGCAAAAAAAAAATCACTAATTGTTATATCCATTCCTTTCGGGCTTTTTCTGTTTGCGTGTATGTATAAATGTGAGAACATATTTTAAATTCAGTTTTTTTGGTTCTCCCTTTTTTAGCCTCATATTAGAAATTGAAGTTTTTCTGTATTATTGGATGTTTTTAAAAACAGTGTATTTTTTAAATTATTGTACCACAACCTAATGTCTGACAAAATACATTTGTTATTTCTCCATTGTTGAACATTTAGACTGTTTCTAATATTTCATTTTTCGAAATAATTCTTTTAAAAAATATATTCTACTGATTATGCTATTATAATTATCCCACTTGTTTTTCCCCTTTACCCACCTCCACCCTGCACCCCCTCTCCCACCAGCATTCTGCCCACCTTGGTGCATATCCATAGGTCATACATACAAGTTCTTTGGCCTCTCCATTTCCTGTTCTTAGGAACAGGAAATAGGTTACTATTCTTACCTCCCCCTGTCTATTTTGTGCCTACCATTTATACTGCCTATTCCCTGTGTCTCTTTTCCCATCATCACTCCTACCACTCCCCACTGATAACCCTCCATGTGATCTCCATTTCTCTGATTCTGTTCCTGCTCTAATTGTTCGTTTAGTTTTTGGAGTCTTTTTGGGTTCAGTTGTTGATAGTTATGAGTTTGTTATCATTTTATTCTTCATATTTCTGATGATCTTTTTCTTAGATAGGTCCCTTTAACATTTCATATAATAAGGGCTTGGTGACAATGAACTTCTTTAACTTGACCTTATCTAGGAAGCACTTTATCTGTGCTTCCATTCTTAATGATAGTTTTGCTGGATAGAGTAATCTCATATGTAGGTCCTTGCCTTTCATGACTTGGAATACTTCTTTCCAGTCCCTTCTTGCCTGCAAGGGGGCAGGCAAGAAGGGACTGGATATTTCTTTTGAGATATCAGCTTATAGTCTTATGGGAACTCCTTTGTAGGTAACTGTCTCCTTTTCTCTTCCTGCTTTTAAGATTCTCTACTTATCTTTAATCTTGGGTAATGTAATTATGATGTGCCTTGGTGTGTGCTTCCTTGGGTGCACCTTCTTTGGGACTCTCTGAGCTTCCTGCACTTCCTGAAAGTCTATTTCCTTTACCAAATTGGGGAAGTTCTTCTTTATTATTTCTTCAAGTAAGTTTTAAATTTCTTGTTCTTCCTCTTCTCCTCCTGGTACCCCTATGATTTGGATATTAGAACATTTAAAGTTGTCCCAGAGTTCCTAATCCTCTCTTCATTTTTTGAATTCTTGTTTCTTCATTCTGTTCTGCTTGAATATTTATTTCTTCCTTCTGTTCCAAGTCGTTGATTTGAGTCCCAGTTATCTTCGCTTCACTGTTGATTCCCTGTACATTTTCCTTTATTACACTTTTAATAGCCTTCATGTTTTCCCCTATTTTGCGACCATACTCAACCAATCCTGTTAGCATCCTGATTACCAATGTTTTGAACTCTGCATTTGACAGGTTGGCTATCTCTTCATCACTTAGTTCTGTTTTTGAAGCTTTGATCTGTTCTTTCATTTGGGCCATATTTTTTTTTGTCTCCAAAGGCCTGTTACATAGTAAGGGGTAGAGCCTGAGCTGTTCACCAGGGCAGGGCAGCCCATATGTTGCTGCTGTTGGGGAGCTGTATGTGGGGGAGGGGTCCAAGAGGAAACAATGTTGCTTGCTGGGTTCTCTGCCATCTTTCAATCACTTCCCCTGCCACCCACAAACAAATTGAACCCTTTTGGTGCTGGTTCCCGTGTGGGTGGGTGTGTGTACGTTCTAGGACCCTGTGGGTCTCTCCAACGAACTCTCCTGTGAGGCTGGGAGTTTCTGCTGCCACCTCAACCCCCACAGGTTTTTTCAGTGAGAGGTTTTGAGGCTTTATTTGCCTGTATTGGAACCTGTGTTGTGCGGTCTGTCTTGCTCCCCAGTTGTTCCTCCTGGTTTATCCTCAGGCAAATGTGGGACCTCCCGGTCTGCCAGCCACCACCTTGCCACGCATCCTCTGTGCCCAGCTGCCTGTCTCTGCCCCTCCTACTGGTTGGATGAATGTTTCATCTTTAACTCCTTGGTTGTCGGCCTTCCATACATTTAGATTTTCTGGCAGTTCTGGTTATTTTTTGTTTTTAAATTTGTTGTTGTCCTTCTTTTACTTGTGTGAGGAGGCAAAGTATATCTATCTACACCTCCATCTTGGCCAGAAGTCCCTATTTTAAATAATTATGCCATGAATTAAATACAATTCCCTGTGGGTATGTAAATATATAACTTTTTTAAATTATAAAAGTAATGTTTCTTTACGATAAAAATATCAGAAAATATAAAGTAGAAAATAAAGTTCACTTGGCATCTGACCACGCTGAGGTCATATTCATTGTTCATCTTTGTTGTCTATCTTTCCAATCTTTAAAGTTCTATATGTGGTTATTGGTAATTCCTTTTTCAGATGAACTATTAAAATAGTTGTAACTTTTCAGTGCTTAAGCACCTGCCTCCATTGGTCCTTCTATGAGGCAGTGTGTGGGGGGGTGTTCGTGACATGGACTTGGAGGTGGTCCATCTGGGCCATGTTCTGACTCCATGTTCAAGGCAGAGTGAGCCTAGACATGCATATGAATGTTGAGAATTTGAGTTAATGAGAGAAATGAGTTAATATAGATAAAATGTAGAGCAGTACCCTCGGTGCAGAGAAAGCAGTGTGGTTGCTGTGTCTACACCCTAGAATTAAAATCAGTTTAACTTCTTTTTATATATTTAGTATTGCAGAAACTTGGAAAAACTGTTTGGATGGTGCCACAGATTTTAAAGAGGTAAGTGGTTTAAAAAGCTAATGATTCACTGGGCTGGTGGTTTCTAACTGCTTTAAAAAAAGGTTTGTTGTTCTCCCCCCCACCCCCTGGAACTTTCAGTTGATTCCAGAATTTTATGGTGATGATGTCAGCTTCTTAGTCAACAGCCTGAAACTGGACTTGGGGAAGAGACAAGGAGGGCAGCCGGTGGATGACGTGGAACTTCCGCCCTGGGCACAGAGTGAGTCCCGCCGTGAAGGTGTGGCATTGCAGACATTCTCTTTCTGATCGTGCAGTTTCAGGATTAATTATTTACTTGCATAATTCTCTATCTAAATAGGCCATCTCAGTCCTATTCCAAATCAAAAATATTCTTAGTGTATGCTGGAAAAATGTCAACATTTTTTGAGAGACCTAAATGTTGTGAAAATGATTCTTGCTCCACAAAATTAATATTTTATATGAAGGCAAAACTTCGTTAAGAACTATGTGCCTCTGTCCTGTCCTAGAAGCTTTATCTCCATGTGGCTAGATGAAAGAAATGAGAGGAAATGGGTGGACGCTGCCGCATTTTGACCGAATCTAACCCAACAGGCCCCCAGGACTTCCTTCAGAAGAGCAGAGAGGCACTGGAAAGCACCTACGTGTCAGAGCACCTTCATGAGTGGATTGACCTCGTATTTGGCTACAAGCAAAAAGGAAGTGAGGCTGTTGGGGCATATAATGGTGTGTAATAGTCACCGAAGGTTCCTTTAGCCTATGACGAAAACAACACTAACCAAAAATAAATGGCAGGAGGGCAGAGCAGTCAAGGTCATTTCTTCAGCAGGAGGATTTTGTGTCAGTGAACAGTGCCTCCTGGCTCAGTGACCCTGGATTAGATACTGAGTAACAGGAGGAAGGACTTATGCCTAAAGAACATCTATTTCACCATGATCCCAAGGGTTCTTTTTCAAAGTCTTCTCATTTTAGCTTCTGCTCTCTCTATCCCATTAAATAATGTCAATTAAAATTCAATCAGAATGGCCCTGGCCAGTGTGGCTCAGTTGGCCGGAATATTGTCTCGTAAACCGAAAGGTAATGGGTTTGATTCCCAGTCAGGGTACATAACTAGGCTGCAGGTTTGGTCCCAGAACCAGTCTGGAGGGCGTATGAGAGACACTGGTCAGTGTTTCTCTTGCATAGATGTTTCTCTCCCTCTCCCTCCTTTCCCCTCTCTCTGAAGTCAGGGGGCATGTCCTCGGGTGAATATAAAAAAATTATTCAATCAGAGCACGATAGGTCAGGGACCTCAGTGGCTATGAAGGGCCTGAGAGTTTCTTTTTCATTGAGCTGAAAGAAACCAGCAGCAAAGCACCTTCTCATCAGTTTCAGCTCTTCCCTACCTCCAGGTTTCTCAAGGCAGTGGAGTTCAGGCTTGATTTCTCACGCCCGAGGAGAGGGCAGAGTGACTTCTCGGGCAGAAATAATGCTGACTGATAAACACACTGAGATCATTGGTCCTCTTACCTGCCAGTTAGATTTCTGCTAAGCAAAAGAGAGTACTTCAAACTGACATTGACTAAAATTGGATATTATTAGTCCATTTTGCAAAGTGAAAATCAATTTCTTTGAAAAAAAAGTGTAAAGTTGTTACTGGGTTTTTTAAAAATTCTGAGCAGGGTGTGTATTATGACTGAGCAGTACGTCTTTCATGGTGTTTTACGTCTCTTTTCAGTATTTCATCCCCTGACCTATGAAGGAGGTGTGGACCTGAACAGGTACTTACGTCTATAAGGAACTTCTCTTTGAGTTACACAATACCTCTTTAACTAAATGATTAATGCACTTATTTACTAATATTGAAGTATGGAAAGTTCACAACTAAGTATGTCTTGCCATTACTATTTTGTGAGTTACTGAGCCTCAGAAAGTTTTCAAAAAATCTGTGGTAAGATCTGGACAGTGCTGTTGTTGGTATTTGAAGGTTAGTCTCTCTGCTGTTGATCAGTGTTATTTGACATGTGTGCTTTTGAGAAACTTGAACCTGTGGCTCACTGCATTATTATGTGTGTTCTGTCCTAAAGCATTGAAGACCCTGATGAGAAAGTGGCCATGCTAACCCAAATCTTGGAATTTGGGCAGACACCGAAACAGCTCTTTGTGACACCACATCCTCGGAGGATCACTCCCAAGCTTAAAAGTTTGTCCCAAACCTCCAGTTATAATGCTTCCGCAGCAGATTCTCCAGGTAAATTTGCAAAGAGAAGACGTGTGAGCACCTCTTGTTTCTCTTTGACAAAGATGTTTCTGACGATTCCAAAAAGGAGATGAAACAGGAACCTTTGTGCTGCTTAGGGGTTGTTTTACCATTTGATTGGGGTTCTCCTAGAAAAAAATAGTTTTTGTTCTTATTTTGTTCATTTGTAACTGTGAACTTTAAGGGAAATCAAGTTACTGTTCTTTCCTGGTAATTTGAAATCCGGTGGTATTTTTATTGTTAATGTTATGCTTCTGTTTCTTTTCTGTGCTTTTCCAAGCTGGTGTTTGATTGGCAGCCAGTCCCTTGTTACTGGCAAGGTGACCAACATCCTGGCCTGGCTGTTCTCACAGTCACCTCTGCCCTGCTCGTCCCCCAATTCCTTCCCCCATCTCCATCCAGCTCCCCTCTCCCCTCCCCAGCCTATAGATCTTCCATTCAATTCTGTTTCCCGTACTTGACTGTATCTCCTTATTCAACCATTTGACAGACATTTACCAATTACCCATTCTGTGCCAGGCATATGTTAGGTCCTGAAATGGAATTACTGTGTTGTCACATCTAGTATTTGGGAAGGGTGGAATGTATCCACACCTCCAGCCAGTTATCTGTGTTTTACGTTTCACATAAGACGGCCTCCAACCTACAGGCTCTTAGGAGTTGGACACTGTGTGGAACTTGGAGAGTAGTTTTCGTATCTCCAGTTCTGCTGTCTGTCCCAGGCACATTCAGACTTCTTAGGCACACGTGGCTGAGTGTGCTCTCAAGTGTGGAAGGGGAGCTCACCAGAGTCACATGACCCAGGGCTGGCTGGCAGTACTTCTCTAAAAGATAACCCCACAGGGTTAAGTCATAAAGACCACAGGATTATCTCGTGATGCCTCTTAAACCCGTATTTTGCTTGCTCACTGGCCCTGTACCACTGTCTTGTGATTATTTTAAAGGGTAATCGTTCCAGCCTTTCTTAAAACAGAAGTGAAGGGATTACTTAGCTAGTCCTGTCCAAGGGTACTTGGGGTAATTGTCTTCATCTCTGCTTCCTCCCCCACAAAGCCAAAGCAAAACTGCAGCATTCTTAGGGAAACAGCCAGCATTGGCACAGATTGCTGACAAGGAAGTGGTTCTTCAGGCTTGTATTTCCTCAAGTTCTTAATTTAGGGGCCAAGTGAAGACTTTGGAAATGTTGATATAAGTATAAAAATGTTCTGATATTTAAATATACTTTTTAATCATTCTCCAAATTGTTAGGGTGGTCGGTGACACGGGCTGTGAAAGAATTCACAGAGAAGAAAGTGTAGAGAATGAAGTTTGTATTCACTCTCCGAGAAAGGACCAGGGGCAGGATGTGCAGAGATGCGCCAGCACTGAGGGGTGGGGGCTTTTACTGGATTAGAAAAGGGTGGGGCTGCTGCTCTGTGGCCCTGAGCAGCGGGGGCTGCCTGTGTTCCCGTGTTACCTCCTGCCTGTGGCTGTAGAGAGCGGTTAGTTCTTGCTTCCAGTAATTTCCACAGAGCAAATGGTTCTGGCTTTCCCCTTTCACAGACGATTTTTATTTTATTTAGATTATGTACCTTATTGTTTTTGGAGCTCTCTGAGAAGCACATTTCAAAGCTGTTATATTTTGGTGGGATATTTTCTGGGTTTTTTGGTTGTTTGATTTTAATAGGAAATATTGTGACCCTGATGCTTGTTGTCTGATGCTTGTTAGTACTTTAGTTGACTCACTTAGCGATAATTTAATGTAGTCTCTCCAGGCGAAGAGTCCTTTGAAGACCTGACTGAGGAAAGCAAAACACTGGCCTGGAATAACATCGCAAAACTGCAGTTACACGAGCAATATAAAATCCACAAAGAGTAAGGCTGTGTCTGTGCTGCCCTTGTAGAAGCTGGGGTCTCCGCCTGGCGTGACGTCGTTTTAAGCTGGGCCAAGGGGGAAGTTCTTTTTCAGTGTCATCTTGATTGTTTTTTATCTCCCCAGAATGTCCACAGTGATCAGCACGCTGAGGTCAATGTGGCAAAGGAATTTGGGGCATAAAACGGAGTTGTGCCGGCCTACAATGTTGTCATTTCTATAGTCAGTCATCTTAGAATTTTAAAAACATACCTGTACTTGCAGGACTTTGAGCTTGGACCTAGAGAGGTTATGTGTTCCCTGGCCTCTGCTATTAAGGATATTTTTATAAAAAATAAAAATATTTTGATAGAAAGACTGGAGGAGCCCTGGTCACCTGATCGTCCTGCTTCAGGTGGGGAAATGCAGCCCCGAGACGAGGCGAGGTGTCCTGCTGCACAGCCACAGACATCCTGTCTGACATTTTGACTTTGCGTACGCCGACACTGCATACGCTGTGGGCCGTGGGTGAAACAGAACGTGCCAGTCTGCTTTAGATCGGTGGTTTACAGTCAGAGCATGGCTCGGCAAAGAATACATAGTTTCTCCTTATTCGTTGTGACAGTGCCCTTTCTTCTCTCAAATTCTCTGGCACATAGAAAGGGGCCTTGTAATGCAGGGCAGTGAAGACATGAGTGAAACTTTAACAGGTCATGCTGGAACCACTCAGTGGTGTCATCATTGCCCAGGGCTAGGTGAACTCAACACACTAATGACGCAGGTGAAGTGATTGTAAAGAAGAGTTTCAGTCATTCGGGTGACAGTCAAATAAAGGGGAATTGAAGGAGAAGCATTAGTAGTTTTCCAGTTGTCAGCAATGTATTAAACTTCAAATGGGGCAGCCAGGGAAGTGAGAGTGGGGATATTTTCTGGGCACAGGTATGGCCAGCAGAGAATTAGGAGCCGCCAGCTGTGACCTGGTAATGGCAGGTGTCGTGTGGGACAGATCCAGCAGGCGGGCTGTGAAGAAAACAGTTACAAAAAGTTGCTAAAATTAAATCGAGGCCTTGAAAGAGGCCAGTGTTCTAGTGCAGGATTGGTGGTGATTCTTAAAACTTCGTTTTTAAACAGGGCGGTTACCGGAATAGCGGTCTCTTGCAATGGATCATCCGTCTTCACCACCTCACAAGGTATGTTTTTCCACCTGAGAAATGGCTTTCCTAGAGTCACAGTGTCCATGTTTCTTCACTCTCAGTCAAGGACTGCACTTGCATCTGCTGCCCCCACATAAAATAAATGTTGAGCAATTATTTTGTGGTATATCACATACAATGTTATTGTGGTTTGCCAAAAGCAATTATGAAAAATGCCTATTGCTGAGGTGGTTTCCCAAAATTTAAGGGGAAAGCCTGAAAGAGTTTCTTTCCCACCTTCTTGCTTGGGAGGAGCCTTTCCCAACAGCGCTGGAGGCACATCTGACTTCCGGTGGGTGGGCCAGGGCCGAGAGCGGGAAGGAGGGCTGGAGCCGCCCCGTCAGACGGACCCAGGGCATCGCGGGGCCTGGGTGTGCACGTTTTCACGTGGAAATGACGATGTGCTGTTACGGTTTTCATTTTTGTCACCCAGTATATATTCAGGGTGTTCGCTGTAGCATTTAGCTTGAAATCTAATTCCTATGTCACTAATGTGCTTTTGCATTATCAAAATTATGAAAAACCCTGCAGTGGCTTGTTGATATGACTTGGAACAATTATATTTGAATGACACAGTAGAATTTAACTATTTTGATCTCTAAAAGGGACCAAGCATAAAGCATCTCCCGCTGTACACAACACTGCTTTCCCTGGTGTCTGTACGGCATATACTTAGTTAAACCACCTGTTGCCCCATCGTGTTCAAAGCCTGGTAACAGGCGCTCCCGAAGGTGTGGAGATGAAAAGAAGAATGTGTTAGCGACCCTGCTTAGGTTTTAGACAGCTGATTCTGGCAAAGTTAGCAGCCGACTGTTTTGAGTGTATTTATTCAGTGTTTATCATATGCAATTATATTTTTCATCCATTAAGTTAAGAAATAATGCTATCCAACTCAGCACCTCCGGGGGGAAATCAGTTACTGCTGTCAGACTCCGTAATCATGGTTTATTATCTGTAGCATGTCATTCCTTTCTCTTTCAAATGCAGTCTCAGATTTCATAACACAGAATTTCCCACAAAGCCTAGAAAATGACTCTGCTGTAGACCAAGGGAAGTGACTGTGCAGGACACACACTGGGCCGGGGCCGCTGACCCGCTGCCCTGGGAGAGGACGGCAGTCCGCGTCTTCCCGGGACTCCTGCCTGCCGAGTTTGCCACGGTCACGCAGACAGAAGGCTTCTCCTTAGGCAAAGCCCGCGTTCTTAGCTGGAGCGGCCTGACGTGGTTCATTAACTCCTTCAGCTTGTTGTACTTGTGTGACCTTGTAAATCGTGAGCATCAAGGGTGTAAACCTCTGAGGCTTATTATTATATTGCTTCTTTGTGAATTTGCCAAATAAAGGAGAGAGAGATTTCCTTTTCCTTAAGTGACAAGCTGTTACATTTTTGTTTCTTCCAACTCTTAGCAGTTCATATCACGGATTTGCACGTATCCTGATAACTATCATAAAGTTGCATTTCTTCCTCAGATGTGCCATGTATGTTATGTATGTGGGCATGACAGGAACCTGTCACAAATGAGACTAGCTCTTCAGTACCTGTGACATGATCACCTCTGGTATGGGGTGGGAACCTTTGATTTCAAGAAAAGCATCATGACATATACCAGGCTGGCCTATGGTTTTCCAGAGGTTGCCCCAAATTAATAAGCTTAAGCAGGCTTTGTAGTGAATACTGAGAATTGCCTAATAAAAAGGTCATTCTTTGGAATCAAAAGCAAGGTTGGGAAGAATGTCAGAGTGATTTATACCCTCAGGGAGATGTTTGGTGATATTGTATTCATTCTTCTGTTTTTGTTTTCAAGCCAAATCCGGGAAAATGTTATATTTAAATTCATGTTTATAAAGACTCAAGACTTCTGTGTGTTGGTGTTGCAATAATTAAATTGAAATATTAAATTTTACTATACAAAAGAATTATTTAAAACTCATCTGACCTTTATTTATCATGTTGTATGTTTGGAAATGTTACATATTTCAGATATGGGATATTTGGAGCATATCGTAATTTGCAAGTCTTGGTTTTTTTAAGGGGTTTGGGTACACTTCTAAAACTTCTGTCAGGCAGGGAAATTAAAAGCTTGGACATTATAATTCCAACTTTATTATTCTTTAGAAAGTTACTGATTCTCTTCCATAAATGCTAATTCTGTAGAGTTATCACACCAAAATTGGTCTCTTGGTTAAAAAAAAAACCTTTATATTGACACAATTTCTTAAAAATATTTAACTTGCTATTTTGCTCCTCTCATTTTTTAAGGTTTACTTCTTCATGTACTTATTTATTTAGTTTTTATTTAATTACCTTCAGAGAGAGGGGGCGGAAGGGAGAAAGAGAGGGAGGGAAACATCAGGTGGGTGAAAGATACGTGGATCGATTGCATCTCACAAACCTCTAACCGGGCACCTGGCCCGCAACCCAGGCATGCACCCTGACTGGGAATCGAACCAGCAACCTTTTGGTCTTCAGGCCGGCACTCAATCCACTGGCCACACCAACCGGGGCTGTTGGACTCCTCGTCTTTAACTTTACCTCATATCAGTTATTAATGCTTAACCCTGTGTCCACTCATGCTGAAATGTCGGCTGTGTCTGTATTGGGATTTAAACCGATTTCCTTGCCAGGGAGTTAACAGATCCCAGCATCTTGCTGTTGGAGGAGGAGTTGGGCCACCCGGCCCCATTCGCCACCCGGTGCGTTCAGGGGCGCGCCACCTGCGACCTTCTCTGTCGTCTCCATCATTCTCACACAGTTGCCTTCTCGTTGTTAAATTAGATTCCACCCTGAAGATGTTTTCTAAAGAATCCAAAACGCTACAGAGAAGTATATCATTTTCAAATATGGTGAGTGCATTTTAATTTTAAGTCAGTGTCATGATAATATAGACGCACATATCATGACATTTTGTTTCTCTCAGAACAGTTGGGTTTATTCCTGTGTGGTATTGACAGAATGCCTTAGTTAGATTATTTCTAAATTCAAGTTAAAATTTTTTCAAGTTGCCTCATTCTCATAATGAGATTTCATTTGTAGCCTAAAAAACTTGAACTGCTGCTACCCAGTAGGGTTCTCCTTAATAAATCCTTCCTCCTTGGAATTTTCAGACTAAATGTATGTATGCTACTTAAGTAACTTACACATTTCTGAGTTGGTGGGATACCCAATACTAGAAAACCAGTGATTCTGAAAAAGCACATTTTCTTGTTAATGTAATTCACCTAAAAGATTCTGAAACTCCCTAAAGAATTTTGGAAGTTTTCCTTACCCGCATTAATCTGTAACCCTGAGACTGTGCCTGCATTCTTGAGGATAATCCCCAGCCCCTCCTCCCGCACGGTTTTCTCCAGTGTCCCTGGCAGTTCCCCCCGCCCAGGGACGTGAGAGACCCTCCCACAGCCCCGAACACAGTCAGGCCAGACCCTCGCGCACTGGACACAACTTTGACTTTCCTACACTTGGGAGGAACCAAGGCGTCTGGAATTAGCTGCCAGTTGGGAAAAAAGCTTTGTAAATATCAGAAGGCTGACAAAAACAGAATATGAACATTAATTTGGGCAATCTTATAAGATAGTTTTACCACATTAGGGACTAACTATTGTAAATTATTAATGTTGAATCATTTGTGTTTCAGGCCCTATCATCTTGTTTACTTTTACCAGGAGACGCCACTGTCATAAGTTCTTCATGGGACAATAACATGTATGTACCTGTGCACGCTTCTTTGTACTCATACATGCATCGCGCCCCCTCTGGACCCAGAGCAGTGAGGACAGAATCTCCCATTGCCAGGACACTGGGCAGTGTTTGGGAGGAAAATAAAAAGGAACAAGTGTTAGATGAGGATATTTCTGTTGGATTTGAATGTGGTTATTTGAATCTAATGATTTCTCCAGTTGAACCCTGTGTTTCTCTATAGTTTAAATTGAGGTGAAAGCAAAGATGAGCCAGACCTGGAAATTTCTAGTTTCAAATTAAAATTTTCAGGTTTTTTGGTTTGATAACATGAGAACAAGTAATTTGTAATTCTAATGGGCCTCAGTAAGTTTCTTGAATATGTATTTAAGAGTCTTACAATTAAGCTGAATGCTGTTTTAATAGTTCTCATTATCTTTTATGTTAGTTATTTTTATTCCATAGCATTCGGAAGATGCCAAGACACATTAATGGGACATGACGATGCTGTCAGTGAGATCTGTTGGCATGACAACAGGCTGTACTCTGCATCGTGGGATTCTACAGTGAAGGTTTATGTGATATTTCTGTCTTATGTTGTATAGTAAAAATACTGTAAACCATTTAACTACCTGTTAACATGTGCAATCCCTGATTTTCACAAAGCATGTGATATATAAGAATATGGAATATTACTGCTTTTTAAATGTGTACACTTCTTAGTATGATAGGAATTTTTCATGATTTTCCCACTGTGTGTTCAACTGGGGGTGGAATGGTCCAGTATTTGTTAGACAGCGGAGTTATGGAGAAATAGCCCCTTTCATCTAACACAGTCGAAACTAGCAGTCGATCAGTTAATCAGAAAATTTCAAGTTGAAGTGGGGAATCATTAAAAGATAATCGATTTTATTGAAAGTTTAAACATCCAACTGCACATTCAATTCACCATTCTGTTGATGTAGGGCTGTGTATAAACTACATCGCTATTCATCATCTTCATTTCCAATCTGCATTTGTGTAAAAAGAAGTCAGAAACCTAGAACCATTATAATTGCTTCAAAATTTCTTCAAGATTTGTCCCCCATTCTTGTGGATAAGTTTCTTGCCTGCACCTCATTTTAGCAATTTTTTGGTAGTCTTTTCAAAAAAATTAATAGACATGCAACACTCATATTCCTTAGTTCACACAATACTTAAATCCCACAAGGGGCGGAAAGAGACACAGGTTAACACAGGATGGCAGGCGTGAAGGCACTAGAACTGCAGAACGGGGTCCGGAGCCTTGGGCAGTGCATCTGTCTGTTGGCAAGTATGTTCAATGGAAGTTGTTAGTCCAGAGCTCTTCTTCACTGTATTAGAAATGTTTTTATATTATGTTTGTAAGTATCTTCTGTATTATGTTCCGTTCTAGGTGTGGTCTGGTATTTCTGCAGAAATGACAGGCACCAGAAGACACCAGTTTGACGTGATGGCCGAGCTGGAACATGATGTCAGTGTGAGTACCGGCGACAAACGTGCACAAAACCCGAGCTTCAGAAGTCCAGGCGTTTGAGGGGGGCTCTTGGTTTTACTTAAGTGTTTATGACCTTTTGCTTTGTGTTGTTTTGCTTAGTGGAGATTGTAGGCTGACTCTCATTTCTTTTCTTTGAGTTGACTTTTTGGGTTTCCGAGTCTACTTTATCTTTTTTTCTTCAGTTTGCTATTTCCCCGAGCACGGCATTGAATATTTGGGTGTCCTCAGACTATCTGGGGCAACAAGACGTGACCCATTGTCTTTCATGTTTTCTGACACAGAAGGTAGAAGGGACCATCTGTCTAGGATGATGCACAGCCACAGCTGAGGACACTGACCCGATATTTGGATGGCCCAAGTGTGTGCAGCCTGGGGCAGACCCAGGGCCGGCACCTGGTACCTTTCACACGTTGTTTCCACTGGGTCCCACTGTGGCAGCTTAGGCTGTAGCTCCCAGTACTGCCCGTTCTCCGAGGTTGGGAATTGATGCCTAGTTTGCATGGTCGACAGGTGAACTGAAGTTGAGAAATATTTATTCAGTGTATAATTCAAGATGGAGATGCAGGTAGAACCTTGAGACCTCCCCCTTCTCCCAAATCCCTCCAGTAGTCACCAGTCTGCTGTTTCAGGCAGGTTGGCACCTTGCTACAACTTATTATTCATGGAGTTAGACAAGTTTAGGCTATTTTAAAACAGAATTACATTTCCAATAGCAATCCTGGCACACAAAGAGTTTTGTCTTTAAATATCATTCAGTAGGAGATGTCGGAATACCTCTGCATTAACTGCACCAGTGCACTGTGCCATAGAGTTTAGTCTGCACCATTACATCCACTTACGTGAACGAGCCGAGGGAAACAGCTTAGGACCATAATCCTAAATGAGATACTTCTGTTTCCTTCCTCAGGTGGACACAATCAGTTTAAATGCTGCAAGCACACTGTTGGTTTCAGGCACCAGAGAAGGCACGGTGACTATCTGGGACCTCACGACCGCCACGGTGCTGCACCAGATTCCGTGCCACTCAGGGATTGTGTGTGACACTGCTTTTAGCCCAGGTAGTATTGTCCTTTTTAATACAGATGGTAGTGCGGGCATTAGAATTATCACTTTGAAATACATGAGAATTTAAAAGAAAAATACTCGGCTGATAAAAGATGTTTTGCCTATATGGCTAACCCTGCTTTACTGCAGAATGCAGGTGTACTTGTGGAATTTGCACCTGGTAGAAAAACTGCATTGGGTATTATTCTTTATTCCTCAGCTCACTCAAGAAATTAATTTGTAAGATGTAAATGAACCCACACCAAAGGGTCATCAACCCACTGTCTTAGAAACAAAAGCATGTTTTCCCCCGCCCCCTTCCGTCCCTGTAACAGTTGATTTGAGCCAAGCTGATGACATGTGGGGGAGGAAGGTCTCAAATGGTCCAAATCGAGCATTTCAAGGAGAGGGCGGTCATTGGTCAACTCAAGGAGTTAAAACAAGCAGCTCAAGGAAAATGAGTACTAGGTCACTGGATCAGAACTAAACCTCAGAACAGTCTAAAACAGTCTGCAGCTATGACCCGTGTCCGTGTTTCACCTTGTTACAGACAGTCGCCATGTCCTCAGCACAGGAGAAGATGGCGGTCTGAATGTAATAGATGTGCAGACAGGGATGCTCATCTCCTCTATGACTTCAGATGAGCCTCAGAGGTACAGTTTGGGGGGCCTACCAGTAGTGAAGACGTTTACACGCAAGTTCATGATCATGTCTTTGGGCTTGCTTTTGGCCAGTGTAATATAGGCCTTCCTTCAGGATGAATGATGAAATGATTATTTCTAAATCATTCTTGCAGGTGCTTTATCTGGGATGGAAATACTGTTTTATCTGGAAGTCAGTCTGGTGAACTGCTTGTTTGGGACCTTCTTGGAGGAAAAATCAGTGAGAAAATCCAGGGCCATAAAGGTAGCTATTTGGTTGACTTGACCTTTCTTCCTAAAATACTGAACTCAAATCTGCTTTCCCAGAAGTCCTTGCCACAGCAATCAGACAAGGAGAAATAAAGACATCTGCATTGGAAAGGAAAAAGTAAAACTAGTATTTGCAGATGACATACCGTATGTAGAGAATCCTAACGATTCCACCAAAACACCAGTAGAACTGATGAATGAATTCGGGGAACATGCTCTTCTCAAGCAGAAAACCCCCCACGTGCCCTCCACGCTGTCTACATTCCCAGCCCGCATCCTGGTTGGCCAGGTGGTCCGAGTTTCTGGGGTCCTTTAGGATTTAGATTTATGTTGACATTTGACTCCAAAAAGGAAGTTTTTACATTAAGTTCCGTACAGAGAATTAAAAACCATAGTGAAAGCTGTAATAGTTCAATACCTGAATCACCATAAAAAAAGGTAAGTCATCTTCCCAGCACTGTCTCCCGCCTCCCATACCTCTCTTCATCTTCTCACTGGTTTTCCAGTGAGTCCTGGATGTGGGTCCTTATTGTTGAGAGGGTGTGTTTGCATGTGTATATAATTGTTCTCTGGGTTTTTTCCCCACTTAATAGTATCTCTTGGAGATTCACTATAGTTGTTCACACTTGCATGGTTTCCTCCTGATCATGTGGAGCAAGGGTGTCCAACCTTTTGACGTCTTTGGGCCACACATTAAATACACAGACACTAAAGAAAACTGATGAGCAAGAGAAAGTGTTGTTTTTTTTTTAAAGATTTTATTTATTTATCTTTAGAGGGGAAGAGAAGGAGAGAGGGAGAGAAATATCAATGTATGGTTGTCTCTCATGTGTCCCCTGCTGGGAACTGGCCTGCAACCCAGGCATGTATCCTGACTGGGAATTGAACCGCAGTTGTTTGGTTCACAGGCCCACACTCAATCCACTGAGCTACACCCACCAGGGCCAAAAAAAAAGCTTTTAAGTGTATTTATGATTTTATGTTGGGCCACATGCAGCCCACAGAATGGACTGTTTATGGCTTTTAATTCTTCTAGTGTCTAGTTAAGTCTCTGCTGTCTTCCCACTGTGAATGTAACTTCTCACCTTCATCCCTTCTGTCACTGTTTTGTGTGGTTAGTTCTTCTTATTCCCTATTTCCTTCCTCATCTGCTTCCTTACTTCTGTTAGTAATACATATTTGCATTCTGTTCTGTATCCATAATCCCCAGTTGTTTTAGCTTTACATTTAAAGGTTTCTTATTCTCCCCAAGTTCTTTGTACCAAGCAGTTATTTTTAATTTCTAACGATTTTATTAATAGGGTGAGACAACATAATGTAGTAGTCCTTATTAATGTACTTACTAGTGTTCCTTGGGCTCTCGTTCCACTCACTCCCTAACCACAATGCCTCCTTCTCTCAGGTGCTGTGACGTGTATGTGGATGAACGAACAGTGTAGCAGCATCATCACAGGAGGGAAAGACAGACAAATTATGTTCTGGAAATTGCAGTATTAAGTGCCTTTTCTTCTCCTGAATATTAAATTGAACTCTATTTAATGTATTTTTAAACCAAACTTTTAAATGAACTGGTGAATGTGCAATGATAATTATTGGAAGTGTTACCACATAAGGAATTTGTGGCTTTAAACTTTCTAAATCATGGTAACTTCATCGAGAACTCTTAGTTGCCATCTTCTGAGGCAGTTACATCTGCAAGGCAGATGGTCATCCCAGTGTGCTGATGGTCAGAAGACAGGTTTGAGTGGCAGATAGTACCTGGGAGATCGAAACTGACCTGGGGAAACTTTCAGAAAGCACTTAACAATAGGGAATTTTTCCAAGAAAACGTGCAGTATACAATACTATTCTGAGTCACTCGATTTTGTCTTCATGATCTACACAATTGCTGCCATTGACTTTTGGGGTATTTCTGTTTTCATGGAGTGGTTATTTTCTAAACCTACTTTCCCCAGATTCTAAGAACCCGGGGAAGGATTAGGAGTTCTTATAACAGTTACTGTATATAGGAATGGTTTATTTCATTGCAGCGATTAAATGTTCATCTTTTCTAAACATTAAAAATATTTTTCTGTAATTAAGCCAGTTTTCGTTTTATTTAAATATTATAGAAACTAAAACTAGTACCTTTTAAGAACTTCAGACATCAATCCTCCTAGAAAACCATGGTGGTATGAATGTTGTTCTCACACTTGGCACCATCTTTGGACCCAGGTCCAGACAGCGAAGTAGATCATCAAACCAGGAAACGTTACTTGGTTTGCTCTTGTAAATTTCAAGGTAAGCTATAAAGTGGGGGCACTGACTCTTTTCTGGACCACAGTAATGATGTGATTTAAAATTTTTCTGCACTCTAAAAACATGGTTCTATCTCGTAAGCAGTATGGCATGAGGGAAAAACTTGAATCGCACCAGGGTGATAGAATTTTCAGTTTTTCTCAGGTATTGCTGGGGAGAATTTACAGACTCACTGAGTTCCTGGTCCTCTGCCTGAGGGGTCAGAACGGGCAGTCCTGTTCACAGCTGGAAGCACTTGCCCGACACTCCTACTCTCCTGGCACTGAGGGCTTTGCCCAGGGTCCCTTGTCAACTGCAGTAGAGAGGACTCGCCCACAGGCCCTGGGTGAATTTCACATGCCTGTTTTCTAAGTTGTGCACTAGTTCGGAGAAAGCCACGGACAGTTTCCAAATGATGCGATAGTACACAGTCTGACTAAATTTTAACTTTATTTGTACATATTTAATTGGAACAGGTATAAACCAAAAAAAGAAGAAAATCAGGATGAAGTGTCAATGCGGTTTGTTTGCAGGGAGAAGTCAGGAGATAGAACTAATTACCAGGACAACATTTTAAGACCATCCCAAAGTAGCTAGGTTACATCATGTTTAGTGAAATGTCAAAATTAGGCTACTTAATCTTACTTAATCTACAATAAAAAAGTCAAAAGTTTATCTGTTTAGTATAAGAATTTTTACATTAAATATACAGTGATTAATTTCTCAGAAAAATGATACCAGTAACTTTGAGAAGTTATTTCCATTACACAATGACTAGAAAATCTCAAATGCATCTAAGCAGCTATGCTATGTATAGCTTAGTATATACCAATAATTTGTTTGGGCTAGCGTACATTTCAGTTTAATGTAATGCAGAACTGCATTTTGGGTTTTAGAAAGGCAGCAATAGTTACATTTTGGCTTTTATACTAGATGCTTAACATAGTTAAGGCGACAGTTCAAGCATATTAAGTGAAGGTAGTTGAGAATTTAATACTAATGCAATCTGTTGCAACCTACATACACTGTGTAATGCTTACATGGAATGAAACCAGTGTCATTTAATTGGTGTTTTACAGACACGCACTACATTCACACACAGAACCAAGAGGGGGAAAAAAACCACTATCAAAAGCAACCATTCTAAATGTACTACGGTAACAGTAAATATGCAAGTATACCTCAGAACTAAAGTGGTATGACAGCACTGATTTCTAGAAAGAAGCTGACTGGTTCTAACACAAAGCTAAAGCCTGCATTAGTCATTCTAATCAGAGCATGGCTTATAAAAGCATCAGGTTTCCAGTAGAGATACTCATCTATGAAAGTCAGTAAATCTTTTCAAAGTTTCACATCGGTTAAACCTGGTTAAGGCTACAACTATTTTGAAGTCTGAACAAGGTATCAGATCAGTTAAGATTCCCAGCCATAATGTCAGATAGAAAGGACCTCATGCAGCATATGCTGTCTGGCTCCTAGAAAGCTTCACGTGCATAATACAAAGTTAAGTTGCCAAAGTAGTAAACTGGAGAAGTTCAGCGAAGTTTCCACTGTGTCATGGCTTCTAAACCTCAGGAATGGTGTGGTCCATCAGGCTTTTCATAATGCTTGGTGCCATCCTACAAGAGAGCCAGTTTTGTTAAACACTGAAGTTTGGGGCTTTTTTCAAAAATGCTAATAAGTTCTTTTTAATGAGTTCTGATCTAAGGGTATCAGTAATCTACTTGGTTTGTAAATTTCCAGTGTGAAAGGCTATCTGAATCTTGGCTAGAAAAGTTAGATGAGATACAATTAAGGCTGATGATATTAAAAAGAAAGAAAATGAGAACTCTATTATGAACTGAAGGAGGGGAGTTGTGACTCCTATCACTCATTTAAGAGAGAACTTTAGAATGAGGAATCCTGCCAGTAACTCCTTTTTTAATACTCCAAGAGTAACTAGTTATTTTCTACCCAGAAGCTGAAACCAACAAAAATTTCATTACAGCTGCTATGTTTTTGTAATATTTTAAATCTTATTACCACATGCAAGATAACTTGAGTCTGAAAGAAGGATCCTAAGTTCCCTTGGCAGAAACAGCTCTGCGAGAGCCAGGATTTTAAAGCTGCAGAGATGAGAAATCCTGATGCCCCTTCTCTAGCCTCCCTCAGCTTTCCAGGCCTCATCCCCAACACACCACACCCCTGCCCACCTCTACCCTCCTCCTGGGACAATCGAGAAAATAAAAACCATGACTCCTAATATCCAGAAAACAAGAATTTGCCACCCTGAACCCCCAGGGGGCAGATTTCTACTGAGCAAAGGAGCCGTAGGCAGCATGCAACCGCCATCCATTTCACTGGAAAGTGGGAGCTGAAGTGAAAGCCGGCCCACGTCTGTTCATATACCCTTTTCCTACTAGGAAATGTCAAAGTTTCGAAAGTGTGTGGTGTATTCCATTCCATACTTGGGAAGCTGTGAGGGGTCATCCTTACCAACCACTTCCTCTGATTTAAACAATGTAATCCAAATTTCTGGGTAATATCAACATCAACTTAGGTAAAGAATCAAGAGTTTGGGAATTAAAAGAAAGCCCAGTGCTTATATTAAGTCACATTACCATAAGCATCAAGTTAAAGAATCGTTTACTTACCGTTTAATAATATGTTCAAAGATAAAAGCAGGCATAATTGTAATAGTAACTACAGTCCCAGACGTTGACAATATGTCTGCAATTTGAGAGTCCTGTTAAAAACACATGGGTGAGAATTCCACAGATATTTTTATTCAATAAACAAAATTATGTTATTATTGGTAAATAAATATATGTCCTCTTATGTTTTGCTAGTATCTCTAAAATCCTGACCCTTGGTATTTATAACTTTCTTCTAGCTTTCTTTCTTCCCCTTTAGGATTTTACTTATTTTTATAGAGAAAGGGAGGGAGAAAGAGGGAGAAAAACACCAATCAGTTGCCCCTCATGTGTGCCCCACCAGGGACTGAATCCGCAACCCAAGCATGTGCTTTGGGAATTAAACTGGCAACCTTTTCCTTTGCAGGAAGACAGCCAACTGAACCACACCGGTTGGTCAGGGCTTTTTTTTTTGTAGTTTTCCTTACTAAGTTTAATTCTGTAGAATCGTAGTTTTATAGGTGGTAGCAAAATTGCTAAATAAACTGATCTGAATATATTAGCAAAAAAAAACCACCCCACACCTTTTATTAGGATTAAATATTTTTCCCCACATATAGTATTACCACATCCCCTCATTTAACCAAAGTTTATGAAATAAAATCATAATGAAAACCTTAAAATAGCCCTGTTTAGGAAACTGCAATAAAAAAAACTATATAAATGAAGTACTAATATGAAGAGCAACTATTACTCATTTCCCACAACCTGGATGGAGAAAAGTTGGGCAATCATTCATTGAAAATGCCATTAAAATCTTCAATGCCTGTCTCCACAGAATTCTAGTTCAAGAGACTACAGAGAGCAACTAGTCCAACCACCTTGTTACAGGAACAATAATTCCAGATAATGGGATGGCCAACAAATTCATTTAGTTTTTTCCATAAAAGACATTTTCATTTTCACCAGTACTGATTTGCATATTTTGCATCTACCAGCTATCTTCTCCGTGGTTGGGTTTTGATAGTTCTCAATGTCTCAAGCTGATCCCTACTGACTTGAACTCATCTACCTGACAGTGAAGCACTGTCCAGCAAGAAATCTGCAGCATGAAACTTCACCAAGCACTTTTGACACACCCAGTCACAGTACCTTCTCTATATACTGCACAAATCTTTGTGTTTCAGTTACATTTCTACCTTTCTTGAATAAAGCATAATATGCTGAAAAGTTGCTTATTTTCTTCCATCTTTAGTATTAAAATGACTACATAAAAATTCACCAATTTTGGTTTTTTTTAAATGCGCACTGATATGACAGCTCTATCAAAATACAATCCAACAAAATTGTTTCGAATGAAGTTAAAAACAACTAAGCAGTACTGGATCCACCTGACAGGAAAAAGCAAACGAACTTTTTAGCCAAACCAAAAATTCCTATATCCTCAGAGTACAACTCGCAGAGAACACAGCCCCAGGTGCCATGTGATTCATCTCTCCACTGCATTTCTACATTTTGGAGCTCAATATGAAAACGACATAACCGAAATAGATAAGTAAACAGGCATTTGCTAAAAGTAAAACCAGCAGAACAAGATGCAAGTTCCGTTCCTTACCTTCAATCCAATGACATTCTGTCCATTAATTTCACAGATGTTATGTTCTGTGAGAAGACCATTTCTGGCTGCAGAACTGTCTTTTACTATGGATGTTATTTTTCCATTTTTAAAGATAAAACCAACATGTCCAGTACTATCCTTATGCATAGTAATGGTGCGTTCAAAGGGCCTGTAAACATAATGGTTCAATTAAAAATTCCATAGTAAACATTTTCATGGACTTCTGCCATATTGGATGCCATTAATGCTAGTAAGAGCAACTAAGAATGGCCATAATATTGCACACTGACCGAATATCTTAGCGTAAAAGATTACAGCTGACCCTTCAACAATGAACTGCATGGGCCTGCACATTAAATAAATCCATGTGTAAGTGGACCTGCGCGGTTCGAACCCATGTTCAAGGGTCAACTGTATCTTTAATTTATCCATTATGGTTTGCCTAAATTATTAATCAAGACTTCCTTCTTTGAAGTATCAAAGACTTAAGTGGTGTTCCCTGTAGAAAGAAAGACAAGTGACTGATGACAAGGCCGCTCCCTCCACTCTGAGAAGCCACTGTGCTCCCCTCTCTCTGACTCTGCTGTCAGGTCATTACGGGTTTGGTGATAGACCTCTTTTTATAAAATTCAGAACAGTCTTAGCTTCCTATCGGTCTACATCACTCTTCCTTACATATGAAGCAAAAATGGCATTTGTCTATGAAATGTTTACTAAATACCTACCACATTGTGAGAAACTAAAAACACAAAAGTAAAAAGTTTAACTGAGAAGAATAAAACCTACAAGCTAACTGTAACAACATGATATAGGTCTGCCCTTAACACTTAGGACCAGGGCAAGAAAATAAATGGAGGCCCATATTCCAGGTGCTAAATGTTTAAGTTATGAACAAACTAACTGCTAAATAAAATGTCCCTTCTGCCCACCTGGACAAGACTTTCATAACCACCCCAAAACCCCGATTTGTTTTTAGAGCTCACATGTCCTTGCAGTTCCACAGGGACCCTGGCACTTCCTCCCTAGACTGTATGTCTAAGCAGGAAACTGGCAAGTGAGCCCAGAAACACCATGTGGCTTAGTTACTTTCCCAACATACATTTTGAATTTTTTAGAAACAGATTAAAAAAGGAAAGTAACTTAGGATAAATTTCTATACAAAACCAGAGTGCCATTAAAAAAAAAAAAACTAAGAAAAATCTGCACCACACATTTTAAAGACTCTAAGGCTCATCTATAACATGACTATCTTCTACCACAAATCACGATATTCACAGAATCTGAAAAGCCCCAGGAAATGGGAAACTGGCCTTGAATTTCCATCTGAACTGTTCAGTCAGCTTACCTGTCACGAATAGTCATAGTGATCTTCTCTCCGAAAGCCTGTTTGAGCACCTTGTGCGCTTTATCAGAGCTCCAGCCTGCACAGTTTTCCCCGTTGATCTGGAGTACTTGGTCCCCGAATCTCAGACCAACCAATGAGGCTGGAGAATTTGCCTGAACCAGCTGAACAAATATACCCTAGAGGGTAAAAAAATAACTTTGGTCATTTAACTTTGTTATGATACAGTTATTTCTGGTATTTTAAAATACCAGAAAACTAGGAACCCACTGTTTAGGTAAGTAATCTACTCCAGTAATTTTTTAAAATTACATGAGTATGTATGTCATTGCCCCTAAAAAAGAAATAGAAAATTTTACCAAGGCAAAAATCCCAAGAAATAAGGCAAAAAAAAAAAGGTAAGATCTCAGTAGTAATTTATATCTCAAATCATGAGCCATCTGCCCAACCTCAATCATTCCCTTCACCTTGGAATAAAAAGACTAAGGAAAATAAAGTAGGATTATTACCATAACTAAGCTTCTAGGAATCTGACAATACTGAATAGGACATTTCCAAGTGGAAAAAAGTTAGCAGATTTAAAGTATTCCCAATTATAGATACACCATTATAGTTTATTAATGTATTTCATTATAACACTGCTCACTTAATATCCTAATAAGCTATTTGGACAAATTCAAATAGACATGAAAAATACTTACATTATCTACTGACTTAAGCCTGAGCCCAATTTTTCCATCTTGATCCTTACACAAAATGACTTCACGAATCCCTTGCTTAATTTCTGCTCTACGAATTCCAGCATCATTACCAGTTACAGGAGCCACCATATAGTTCATACTAGAAGGTCTTGCTACCAACTGCTGCCAGAAAGATATACAGGACATATTTATAAACATTCAAGGTAATAAAAATTTTTTACACGAATAATAACAAATATACTCATTCAACTTATGCAAAAATGACCCTGCTTTAATTTACTAATTCCTCAGGTAACTTATTCCCAGGTTTATCATCTGCAATAGATTCAATGACTCTACTGGCTGCCTTCTAAATTCAGTGCCATTTGTGTCATGTGTGCTTTGGCTTTTCAACTCAAGTGTTGATCCTTGAACTTAATAACCATATCATACTTTTGAAGCTTATGCAATATTTTCCAGAGGGTTCTTTTATATGGTCTGATCTTTAGCAATCTACTTATCCTTTCAGAGTTTCTATAAAAGGGCAAACTTCTCACCTCACAGTGCCACTGTGAGGATTAAAAGTGCATGTTACGTGAGTGCTGGCACACCGGACAGTCAAATATTATTTCCCAACCCCTTTAATAAACAGCTATGGATCAGCCGGCAACAGGCACAAACCAGACTGCTCTAGAATAGCAGGGACTTGTGTCAGGTACCAGATTTCAAGTTTTCTGGACTTAACTGGTTTCTTATCGTAAATGGGCCCTTTCTTCAACCAAAAAGTCAGTGAGGGAAGAGCTGAAACAAGGTTTAATTGGAATCTGTCATAAAAAGGTCTCACGTACCTAAAAGTCGGGACACTCAGAGTGGCAGTCATAGGGAAAGAGGAACCTCAGTTACACACACACCCATGCTGCAGATTTTCCGTTCAGAATTCATGGTAATTCCTGACAGCTCCGAACTCACCCTTCTAGACTCTACTTGGTGATGCCAGGGTGGAACTGTGCAGAATTACATGTTCTTATGCCAACAGGTTTCTGGTCAGCATGTACCACATGTGGCACCGGAGGGGGGCAGGAAGGCTGGAGGAGGGACAAGTGCCTTGCTCCTTCTTGTTTGCTTCTGGTTCCTGTCAGCAGTGCCTAGGCACAGGCCTTAACCCTGGTGGCAGCAGTTAATTCCGTTTTCCAGCTCTTACTGATGCGCCCAGAACCACCCTCACTGCAGCCCCTCGGAGGTACCAGTACCGTCAATGCTGTGTCCTCCTCCAAGGTCTGAGGCCCACCTCCCTGGAGTTCTTCCCCCATGCTTCTAGACTCTGATAACTCCCACTGCTTCCCTATGCTACAACTGTATTCCATTTTTGCTTTTTTCAATTCTTCAACCTCTTTAATTTATTAAATTATCTGTTAAAATATCTACTGTGATTTGTTTTCCCAAATGAACCTCGATACAAGCCAAGTTTTCAATAACTATTTGGTAAATAAATAGAAAATATCAGTTACTTTATTAAACACTGGGGTTATGGCAACAAGCTAGACATGGAACCTGTCTTCATAAAGTATTTAACTATAATTTTAATAAGTGCCATAAAGTGCTATGGTCTTATGGCAATGACCTTAATAAAAGAATACATGATACGACATATTTAAGATTAGAATTTGAGATCTAGTTAAAAGAAACATTAGATCTCAAAACATTTAAAAATTATGAGCAACAAGTATTATAGACCTATATTTCATGATGATTACTCAAGCGGCAGCTTGGTGCTGTTTATTGTAAGAAGTCACTAGAGGAAATGTACGAGAGACTACTGTAGTAATCTAGGTTAGAAGTACAGAAACTCTGAACAGGGTTATAGTACAACTGGAATAGATAAAATGAATACAAGAAGCATGGTGGAGACAGAATCACAGGATCTGAGTAACTGACTAAATGCAGAAGACAAAGGGGAATGGAGGAGTCCAAGGCATGTGAATTTTTAACTCCTAATAAATTAGAAAAGTGGTAAGAGCATAAGGAAAGTAAGTGGACTACTCAGAGATAATGTTCAGAAAGGAGTCAAAAGTTTTCTGAGAAGAGAGGTCAATGCTAAACTTATAAATTTTTGAGTAAGCCACAAAGAGAACTTGTATTTGTGTGTAAAGTATGGTTTTCTTTAATTAAAAATTAACTATACTCTACATACCCCCTGAGTTGGTGCTCCAGGGACCATGCCCATATTTGTCTGTATTTCTTCTTCATTTAAACTCAGGCCCATGTACTGAAAAAGCTCTGGATACAATCTAGGATAGAGATCTAATACAAATAAATGAATGAATAAAGAAGAAAAACACTGGTAGAATATTCAAAATGAAAACTGTTGTCATAATAGGCTTCTACATGCATTAATCATCTCAGACTTCTGACAACTCAAATACAGTACCCCAAATAAAGTATCTTACCTTAACTGTTTCTTAAAATATACTGACCTGATTAGCAATTTTGTAAACCACTGATTTTCCAATATAGAACTGACTGAAATATCTACTGTCAGGGCAGCTACTTTATAACTCATTTAGTCAACATGGCTATGAAATGACTCTTCTGATTAAAAAAAAAACCAAAGACTGCAAATTTATTTAGTATCATATCATTTTAATAATGTTAACCATGTTTCAGTGAACTCTTGGAAATACTATATTTAAACATTAACAGTATTTAACTTAGTAGTAAAGTTAGGCACTATTTCCCAAACCTCTCTACATGATTTATTTGTGACTTAAAATGGATTTTCCAGAAGAACAATGTTATAGTTATGAGAGGCCACGAAAACTTACTGAACATTCCTGTTGTGTCATGTCCTACTTAGGGGCTGTCTCCTGAATGAACTCAGAAGGGAATCGAAGGAGAGGATATGGAGACTGGGTAGATTCCAGGCTTTGGGAAGGCCCCCAAAGGGAGACAGCTGGAAACTGCAACTACTCCCCATGCCCCACACAGAGGACAGTTCAGAAGTTCAACAGTGGCAGTATGGGCACAGTTCACATGAATGAATTTTAAGTTAGGAACTTCTGAGGGCTAAAATTTAATGTAATTAATTTTCATTAAGCCATAAAACATGTCTTCATATTCATAGTTCACTTTCTTGATTAAAGGCTTAGGTTGTGAAATAAACATTTTTTCTTCTTACTACTAGAGATTTAAAACCACCAATTTTATGCTACAGAAAATTTTTAAATTCTTGGATTCCTTATTTCTTCCAAAGAATGCTTAAAGATTTCTGTTCAGAGAAAATGAACCCAAAGTATAAACCTACTTCCATCTTGAGAGATGGGAGCAGATGCTTCAGACAAAATTGCTGGGTTGGCAGGGTTTGCAGAAAAGGCACTTTGAGCCTGAAAAAGAAAAGAAAACTCTAGCAATAATGTTATATATGTACTTAAAATTCTTACATGTTAACAATTCAATACATCCACAAAGAAACTACAACACTGAAGTTGTACTCAAGAAAGTTTAATTTCAAATATTTCAGCAATATAGCTTTCAAAAAAATCTGCAAATCAAAAATATTTTTCATATTCTAAATATTTAGCACTATTACATAAAACTTGACTAAGTACCAATTACACATGTCTTATGCCAATATTTCATAGTGCTGCTGCAAATTAATAAATATCTGCAAAATGCATTATAAAATACACAACCACCCATTTTACATTTTCATTATTCTTTTAGTAATCAGTCTAAAAATATTTTATTTGCACAAGAAACAAGCTCAACCATATTCATATAAAAGCCACATATCAGAAAAATACCTACACATTTAAATATTTAGTAAGTTGCTAATATTTTGCTCTTTTAGCATAAGGTACTCAAACTTTAATCTTCATTTTAGCAAGTATAAGAAGCAGCTACACTACACTAAATACAGAAACATTACGAAATATACAAAATGCATACTTTATCACTGACATAAAACAATTAAAAGACAGTATAATTTATAATTATTAAACTTGCCCAAATAATTCTAGTAACATTACACAGTATCAATGTTACTCATGTTCACATACACCAGGAACTCCTCTCCGGGCTGCCCACGCAGCCCACACTAGTCAGTATTCCACTGACGGAGATTCTTTCTCCTTTACAGATAGATCTGACTTTCTGAAATAGCCATGTCATTTGGACAAGGTTAATAATGAAGTGTATGTCCCACCTCTAGTAACCACTCTTTATATAATCACAAATAGGTGCATTGTGTATAGGGGGGAGGTAAAATGGGAACTCTTTATACCTCCTATTTAATTTTGCTATGAACCTAAAACTACTCTAAAAGATAGAATTTATTAATTTTAAAAGGTATTCCTTTTTAGATTGGTTATTATTTATTTTTTCATTCATTGCTATGGTTCTGATCCAAGGAACACTGAAGTAAGCATACAGAAAGTTCTCTGCAATAAAGATATATCTCTACAAGATATATCTTTATTATGTAATCAAATAAAAGTAACAAAGATGGTACAGTAAGGGCTTAAGGACTATGAGTCATTAAATGCAGCAAATTATTTCACACTTATCTGACATCTCACACTATAAAAAAAGGGGGAGGGGGAAGTACCCAAAGAGCACCCAGTTACTGCTGGGACATGCTGTTTCTGCCATTACAGAAAACAAGTGGAGAGCAGAGACCAAGCTCCTGGAGCCAACACTTCCAAACTCTGCTCACTGCATTAGAAAACTGATGAGCACTGGGTCTCTAGAGCATGGTTTTTTAAAAGCTTATTTTGTATAGGTACAGCCGCTAAAGGTTCCTGTTAAGGATTTGTAATGGATATTGTAAAAACAGTTTACAATATATGAACTGCCAGTTCACATTGCTGCATTTACCTTATCGGTTGTGTAAAAAGACAGAGGACTAGAAAATAAATATCATCTTTGCAGAGACATCTCAAGAACAAAAATAAACTTAAGTATCAACTACATCAACTACTGTGTAAAATTAACTACACACAGGCACACATATATCCCAAGACTTTAGTAGCTAGGAATACTGTTAAATCCAGTGAGAATTTAACAAAAACAAAACAAGCAAAAAAAATCTGTATTCCCCCTTTTACTCACTGTTACATCTCTACGCAGCTAGCTTTTTGCTCAAAAAATAAAAGGTCTTCTAATGGAAATGTCCATGTAATTTCTGTACATTAGGCTTCTCCTTAAAGAGGTAAGCCTAATGTAGACTGTAGCCCTCTGTTTTCCAATCCAACATTTGTCAATATCAACTCGTTTCTATTTTCAAAATCAAAAACCTCTGCTCAAAGTCAGTTATGGTTAATTCAAGAGTTCAATTCTCTAAAAATGAACAAAAATGATAAAAACAGAAATTACCATATTTTGCCATGTGTAATGTGCATTTTGCCCAAATTTTTGAGGGAAAAATAAGGATGTGCATTACATGTGGGTATAATGATTATATACCATGGACATACTAGAGGGCATAATAATCCCCGTGTATAATGCACACAAAAACATGGGTGCGGCATTATACACAGGAGCACATTATATACAGCAAAATATGGTGGTCACTGTTCCAGAGCCACCTGCAAATCCAGTGCTCTGATGTCATTAATTGCTTAATTGTTATTCTTGAGGGCTAAATATTTGAGATAAATTCTTTAAGAAACAAATGTGTTTGTTCAAATGGACTTTGTGGAAATAAAAACCACATGAGAGAACACTGAAGAAAAAAGCAATAAAACATTTAAGATGACTGAACAGGCCACTTAAAACTGTGAGGCATCAACGCCTTGGCAGCTTAGCAACACATTTCAGATAGTTCACATCCCTTATTTTAATATCCACAGTGGATCTGTGGTGGAAAGTATGCATTCATGGATCTCCCCCCACATGTAACCAATCATTACTACAAGGTTAAGGATAACTCCAGCCATCTATTTCTTACTATTATTTCGGGGGGGCTTCACCCTAAAAAGGCTAACATTTCATCTAAAAACATTTGTATTCTTGAACTTGTTTACTTCTCACAAATTTGAAATAAACCTTTTATGCTTATTAAATAATTATTAAGTAAATCTCAGAATAAACTGAGGTCAGGGCCTCAAGTGAAATCTTTAGAGTAAGAAGCTTTGAAATACCAAACTCAAGAAAGAATTTTATCATATTAAAAACATTTTAGAAATAAGTACAAGACAGAGTTTGATTTATGTTGCAAAATTAAAAGAATAAACAACCACTGAAAAAATTCTAAGTTTACAGGACATCAAAATTTAAAGTAAATTGGAATCAGGGTGGACTAATTAAATACTACAAGTTATATCTGTTTAAAAAGCATAGTAAACATGTACAAAATGGCAAGACTGGATCCCAACCCCCAACCTTCTTAGCAGAAACATGTCTCCAGAGCGAATATTTATATGAAGGACTCCAAAAAGTTTTTGACTTACTGAGCTGAGAAATACTGTAATCTCTAATAGTCCTTTAGAGTATGAACATGTGAAATGTCTGCTGCTTACATCTAAAAGAAAATAAATCCCCACACTTTCTTCGGGCTTTCACATGACTACTCTTCCATAAGCAGCATGTACATGTCACTATTTCCCTAATTTTTAACTTCAAAGAGAAGGGAAAGATTTTAAAGACTAGTCAAAGCTGAAGATAAAAAAAAACAATTTAATTTTAAACAAAACTAGGACATCAAAAAGCTAAAGTGCATTTTACCAACTTATATATGTTGTAGTTAAATTTGTCATAAAATCTGGCTATCACTGAATACTTTAAGTTTTAAAGCAGCAATATCCCATACCCATTAATTCATTGTACAATGAAAAGAAAACATTGGCTTTTCTGTAACTTTTTAGTCTGCAATTAATAAGTTCAAAAAGGTGTGTGATGTATAAAAATGAGCAAATCTATCTAGGTTCTTGCTTCACTTTGCCTGTAACTAAAATGTATGGCATAGTGTATTGGGTGGGTGGGGCGTGAAGGGGTAGTATTTAACTTAAACGTACCTGAATTACTTTGTCTACCTTCAAATCTTCAAGAGATGGATATAGAGACATTTTTGCAGGACTTTTCTAAGGGGAAAAAAAAAAAGAATTTCTGTGATTCAGGAGGTTCTGGCCAAGATGGAGAGGCGTAGGTAGATATGCTTTGCTTCCTCGCACAACCCAAAGGATAACAACCAATTTAAAAACAAAAAACAACCAAAATTGCCAGAAAATCAAACTATATGGAAGTCCGACAACCAAGGAGTTAAACATTCATCCAGACTGGTAGGAGGGGCAAACAGGATGCATGGGCAAGGCAGAGGATTGCAGATCCAAAGGGCAAGGTAGCAATGGTGGACCAGCTGGCCCCACATTTGGTGCAGATAAACAGAAAGGAACAATTAGGGAGCAAGACAGTCCATGCAACCCAGGATTCCAGTGTGGGGATCTAAAGCCTCAAAACCTCTGGCTATAAAAACCAGTGGGGGCTGCTGCCAAGGGTGAAACTGCCAGTCATAGGAGAGTCTATTGAAGGGGCCCATGGGGTCCTAAAACATACACAAGCCCAAGCACCGGGGAATCAGCACCAGGGCAGCACCTGAAAGGGAACAATTCATTTGTTGGTAGAGGGGGAAGTGACTGAAACCCAAGGGATAGCTGGGCAAGCAACACTGTTCTCTCTCTGGCCCTTCCCCCACATACAGCACCACAATGCAGGGATGGGGGTTGCTCCACTATAAAGAATACCTAAGGCTCCACCCCTGACAATGTAACAGGTTTGCCAAGACAAAAAAAAAAGGTCCAAATGAAAGAACAGAACTAAGTGACAAGGAGATAGCCAATCTGTCAGATGTAGAGTTCAAAACACTGGTAATCAGGATGCTCACGGAAATGGTTGAGTATGAGCACAAAACAAAGTAAGAAACAAAGGCTATTCAAAGTGAAATAAAGAGCCCTGGCTGTTGTAGCTGAGTGGATTGAGCGCGGGCCTGAGAACCACACGATCAAGGTTCGATTCCCAGTCAAGGCACATGCCTGGGTTGCAGGCCAGTTCCCTGCAGGCCAGTTCCCAGCAGGGGACGCACGAAAGGCAACCATACATTGATGTTTCTCTCCCTCTCTCCTTCCCCCCTTCCCCTATAAAGACAAATAAAATCTTTAAAAAAGAAAGTGATTTCTTATTAGCACTTTCTTTTAAAAAAAAAAAAAAAGTGAAATAAAGAAAGAAACAGGGAACCAACAGTAAAGGGAAGGAAACTGGGACTCGAATCAATGGTTTGGACCAGAAGGAAGACATAACTTTCAACCAGAACAGAATGAAGAAACAGGAATTCAAAAAAATGAGAAGCTCAGGAACCTCTGGGACAACTTTAAATGTTCCAACATCTGAATCATAGGGATGCCAGGAGAAGAGAAAGAGCAAGAAATTGAAAACTTATTTGAAAAAATAATGAAAGAAAACCCCAATGTGGCAAAGGGAAGATATATAAGTCCAAGAAGCTCAGAAAGCCCCAAAGAACTTGAACCCAAGGAAGTACACATGAAGGTACATCATAATTACATTACCTAAGATTAAAGATAGAGAATCTTAAAAGCAGCAAGAGGAGACAGTTACCTACAAAGGAGTTCCCATAAGAATATCAGCTGATTTCTCCAAAGAAAAATTAAAGACAAGAAGGGGCTGGAAAAAAGTATTCAAAGTTAGGGAAAGCAAGGACCTACATCCAAGATTACTGTATCCAGCACAACTACCATTTAGAATGGAAGTGCAGATAAAGTGCTTCCTAGATAAGGTCAAGTTAAAGGAGTTCATCATCACCAAGTCCTTATTAATATGAAATGTTAAAGGGGCTTATCAAGAAAAAGATAATAAAAAACATGAACAGTAAAATGGCAACAAACTCACAACTAACAACGGAATGAACCTGAAACAAAAACAAAAACTAAACAAGTAATAGAACAGGAACATAGTCACAGAAATGGAGATCACATGGAGGGTTATCAGTGGGGAGGGAGATAGGGAATGGGGGAAAAGGTACAGGGAATAAAAAGCTTAATTGGTAGGTACAAAATACACAGGGGGAGGTTAAGAATAGTATAGGAAATAGAGAAGCCCAAAAGCGTACATGCATGACCCATGGGCATGAACTAAGAGTGGGGGGAATGCTGGAGTGAATGAGGGTACCAGGCAGAGAGGAATAAAAGGGTAGGGGAAAAAATGGGACAACTGTAACAATCATATTTTATAATCAATAAAATACACCTTAAAAAAAGAATTTGTGATTCATATATCACTGAAATTTAAATAGTATCCGTAATGAGCAACATACACATAAACACATGTAAACATTTAACACAATACCTTTAAGTTGCAAAACACATGGGAAAATATGAACATCTAGGTTATATAAAAATTGTTGATTAATGGCTACCAAACTCTCTCTCCTTCCAACTACTATTAAACTATATCCACTAGAAACTTTAAACTTCCCTTCAAATCAAATCCCTTCATTTCAAAAGTTTAGAAAAAAAGAACGGGTATGTTACTTTTCCTAGCCTACCTATCTATAAAACCTCTATTACTAGGGAGAAATACATATATACATAGGAGTGGGCAAAAGTAGGTTCACTGTTGTGAGTGCACAAAACAGTCTATTCTTGTATTATTACTTATTCTATTAATAAAGTACAACTGTAAACCTACTTTTGCCCACCCCAATACACAAATATAGGTATAGTTGATCTTTCAAGGGTCAACTTGTATTTCCATCTGCAGTCAGGAAACTGAGTATGCAGCAGGCCAACTCAAGTTAAACTCAGATTTCAACTACAACAGTGGTTGGTGCCCCTAACCTTCTCCTTGTTCAAGGGTCAACTGTACACAGAAAAAACAATATACTCTACTCTAACCATTAATGATAGTTTTATCTTCAGGAGACATGAATGAAATAGATAGTAAAGGCCTGAGGAATAAGAGGGAAATTTTTAGGTTTTAAATATTTCTACATAGTTCAATATTCTTTTAGTCACCATGAATTGTTTTTTGTAGTAGTCTAAAACAATTTTCTTGAAGTAATACAAGGATAACTACTTTAAAATTTTGTTTAGCTATTTCAAGATGAATACCTGGTACTTTCTTTAAACCCAGGATAACATATATCCTAAACTGTATAGGGTTTAACAATGATTCTTGAGCTAGTTATTAGTTTATTAATTCTCATCTCCAAATCTACCCATTATTGGCTGCTCTACTGCTCCTTGGCCAGCTGGCAGATGTTAGGTGTTGTCAGTAAAGGGCACTGGAGATACACTGGAGAAAGAGATTTTCCTCCAGCCAGGCTCCTGCAGTACCTGCGTCTCTAGCATCTTCCTGCAGCAGGGAGCAGCTTCTTAAGCACACAGCTCCTGCAATGCACAGCAACCCCTGTCACTCACTGGTGAGCAGGTTCCCAGCATGGTGCCACCAACAAAGCACTCCCCCCACTGAGTAGCTTTCCCTAGCATACCCTCAAGTACCTTATAGCACCTCCCTGTAAATAGCCTCCCCAATTAACTTAAAGGGAGAATTTCCTGTAAGTTATGTGGACAATTTTACCATCCACTGACTGATGCCTGTACTCTCTCCAAGGCCTGGATTTCAGACATAGAAGGAAGGCAGCCCCTACAACACTATCTCAGCCCTGTGTTTAGTAGATACTCACTAAATCTGCTCTTCCTGTATTCATTAAAGTTCTCTTTACCCTTAACTAGCCAATCTGTTTCTCCAATCATGTTATAGTTAACAATTCTGTACATTAAACTTTCACTGTTCCAATTACTATTTGGTTTCTGTCTCTTGGTTAGATGCTCAGTAACATTTCTAAATGGATATACTTCATATACCATAAAATTCATTCTTTTAAAGTATACAACTGAATAGGTCTCCATATTGTATTTTGATACCCAAATGCATAAAGAACCAAAACTAATAATAAACTAGAAAATATTAGAGATGTATTTGAAATTTGGAACAATATTTATATAATGTGTACGTTCCAAATTTATGCATGACAGTTTAGCAATTAGTTGTACTCAAAGATGTTGCCCATTTCAGCTACTTATACCTTCAAAATTAGATAATTTATAACAAACATTTGGGTTTATGTTCAAATTTTACTAATTTTTTAACTGCCCCTTTATCTTCACTTCCACAAAATCACTCATAAAATGGCCTAAAATATTAAAAAATAACAACAAACAATGTTCACTGGACCCCAATGGTAGAGAGTGATGACTGTTTTGAGGACTGAGGATTAATAAGCATTCCAGATGGTTCATATACGGTGTCAAACAACACCCATACTCTGAAATAAAGCCCTAGATAGTCTGCCAAGAGCAATGTTTCTCAAACGTGGCTGATCATCAGAGCAGAATTACCTGCGCGCTAGTTAAAAATAGTTCTCAGGCTGACACACATCTCTTGAAGAACATAGAAACTCTTCTTTTTAATCAACATCCACGGAGATTCCAATAAGCCACTGAGAAATATGACCATATAAAGTCTACAGTAAGTAGAATAATTTCTTCTTATCTAAAAGAGTCTATTTCACACTTATTGGACTTTATTTTGGACTTATTGGCACTATGCTGGACTTACTGGCAAAAATCCAAAGTTTGACAACACTCTCAGATCATAACACTTTGAGAAATGCTCAAACATTAATAGTGAAAGTGTAAACTAGAACAATTTCCATAGAGAGAGTTGCAGTATCTACCTAAATTATAAATGCAGGTACCCTTCAACCCAGTCATACCACTTCAGGTCTTGAGCCTACAAATATATGTGAACATAAAAAGTGACACATGTAAAAATTTATTCGCTGAAGCACTGACTGCAACAGCAGAGCACATGAAATAGAGGAGGAAGTACTATATATACTAATATTGAAAGAGGTTCCAAACATTATCATTAAGTGGCAAAGCAAGCATGATTTAGAGCAGTGTACAGTAAAACATGCTAACATTTATGTTAAAAGGGGGGAACCTAAGTAACTAGAAAAAGACTACAAACTAAATCCAAACCTAGCAAAAATAAGAAAATAAAGATTAGATAAATGAAATAGAGAAGTGGAAAAAAATAAAGAAAAGCCATGAAACCAAAACTATTCAACACAAGTGACAAATCTTTAGCTAGATGGATTAAGACACCAAAAGAGAAAACTCAAAATACTAAAATCAGAAATGAAAATGGTAAATTTACACTGACTCTATAGAAATCAAAGAATTAGAGAGTACTACGAGCAACTATATGCCAAAAAAACTGCGTAACCTAGATGAAATGGACAAATTCCTACAAACACCAAACCTACCCAGACTAAAACGCAAACAAACAGAAAATCTGAATAGATCTGTAACTAGTAAACAGATGGAATCAGTATCAAAATCTACCAACAAAGAAACGCCTTGGACCTGATCACTGGTGAGCTCTACTAAACATTTAAAAAAGAATGAATATCAATCCCCCTCAAAATTTTGCTAACTCATTCTACTAGGGCCGCCATTACCCTGATACCAAGGCTAGACTAAGGTTCTACAAGAAAAAATACTATAGACCAACATCCCTCATGAACATTGATGCAAAAATCCTAACAAAATACCTGCAAACAGAATTGGACAGCATGTTAAAAGGATTATACCTTTAGGAAATAGGATTTACTCCTGGAATACCTGGATGGTTCAAGATAGAAAAACTGGTCAAAATAATATGTCGCCATCAACAAAAGGAAGGGAAAAAAACTACATGATCATCTCAACAGATGCAGAATAGCACTTGATAAAACTCAGCAATCTTTTATGATAAAAACACTCAACAAAATACAAATAGGGGGAAACTTCTTCCACATAATAAACACTTTTCTTGGTCTAAGATCAGGAACAAGGCAAGGATGCCCACTTTCACCACTTCTATGCTCCAAGGTTCTAGCTCCAACAATCAGAGAGGGAGGGAGGGGAGAAATAAAGGCATCCACATAGGAAAAGAAGTAAAATTATCTGTTTAAACATCATCTTATTGTGTTTAGGGTAGATGCCACACACGCGCACACAAAAAAGAGCTGTTGGAACTAATAAACAAATTCAGCAGGATACAATCAACACACAAAATTAGTTGTATTTTTATACATAACAATGAAGAATCTAAAAAGGAAATTCCAAAAAGATCCCATCAAAAAATAAAATACTTAGGCATTTAATCAAAGAGGTGAAAAAACTATGATAAAATCTGTAAAACGAAGCTGAAAAAATTTAAAAAGATATAAATGAAAGTATATCCCATGTTCATCAATTAAAGCTTCATATTGCTAAAATGTCAATACCATCCAAAGCAATTTACAGATTCAATGCAATCCCTATCAAAATCTTAATGACTTTTTTTCAGAAACAGAAAAACCCATCCTAGAATTTATATGGAATCTCAAAGCATCCCAAATATCCAAAACAATTTTGAAAAGGAACAAAACTGGAGGACTCACACTTCCTGATTTCAAAACATACTCAAAATAGTTCTCAAAATAGTATGGTGTTAGCATAAAGATGTACAGACCAATGGAACAGAACAGAGCGCCTGGAGATAGATAAGCCCTCCAATATAGCATATACTGATTTCTGACAAAGGTGTCAAGACCATTTAATGAAGAAAAGCAGAGGCAGAATGCCCTCATAGGGACAATAATGTTCATAGCAGCATTATTCACAAGTGTTCACACGCAGAAGCAACCCAAAGTGTCCATGGAAAGATGAGTATCCATGGAAAGATGAGTGGATGAGCAAACTGTGGCATATACATACAATAAAGTATTACCCAGCCTTAAAATGCTAGGAAATTCTGCAATATGCTACATGGATGAACCTTGAGGACATTACACTAAATGAAAAATGCCAATCACAAAAAGACAAATACCATGATTCCATTTATATGAGGTACTCAGTCAAAATCATGAAGGCACAAAGTAAAACAGTGGTTGCCAGGGGCTGGTGGAAGAGAGAAGGGGGAGTTTCATGGGTACAGAGTTTAATTTTAAAAGTTGAAAAGAGTTCTGGGGATGCATGGTGACAGTAGTGGTGATGGCTGTACAGTAGCAACATACTTAATACCACTGAACTGTACACTTCAAAATGGTCACGATGGTAAACATGGCACGAGTATTTTACCACAATTAAAAAAGGGGTGGAAACATATTTATACATTTGTTTGATTCAATATTCCTGGATGGATACCTAAGAAACAAAAAAGCTTGTTCCTACACAAAGAGAATATGGTTTGATGGCTGGAGAACCTCAAAGGAAAACTGTACTATATACCTTTTATATTATTTACATTTTTAGTCATGTTACTGTTTACCTCCTAAAAAAATGAAATACACGTACAAAAAATGTTTGCAGCAATTAGAAATTTAAAAGTGCTAAAATAAATATTACCATATGTAGGAAGTATTTTTAAAAGTTGTTTGGGGGAAGCTTTCATTTCAGGAACCTGTGGCATTTACTTTACTACTTAAAAAAGAGTATTTAAATCTGGTAAAAAAAAAAGGAAACAAACAACAGTTGAGTCATGCTCAGTTTAAGGAAGTGGTTTTTGTTTGCTTTGAATTGAACAGTACACTCGAATTCTGCAATTAGGAAATTCTCCCTCTTTTGGTCACGATTTTTACATTCTTTTTTTTAAAAAAAGATTTTATTTTTATTTATTTATTTATCTTTAAAGGGGAAGGGCAGGAGAGAGGGCGAGAAACATCAATGTATGGTTGCCTTTCCTGGGTCCCCTGCTGGGAACTGGCCTGCAGGGAATCAGCCTGCAACCCGGGCAAGTGCCCTGACTGGGAATCGAACCGCGATTATTCTGCTTCCCAGGCCCACGCTCAATCTACTGAGCTACACCAGCCAGGTCTTTACATTCTTTCTTATAATGCATAAACATGACTGAAAGTTAATGTTGGCAAAGTTATATTCAGATTAAGGCAATAACTATTTCCTGAACCTTTTAAATGACATTCCACTTCCTTATTTTTATTCTGTGGCACATCACTTGATCTATCCTTTTTACGTACCATTTTAAGCCCCAAAGTTTATAGAAGTAAGTAGGTTAACAGAGAAAATAAAACTTAAAAAAATTTTTTTTACTGTTTACCCACAACCACAAACAGAAAAACCAGAGACTGGGGACAAATTTGAGTTTAAATTAATCACATGAATTTCAGATAAAGCTACCAGACTGAAGCTGTTTTTAATGTCATTTTGCCTTTTTAATCAAATTGTTTTTTTCTTTGAGGCAAGTGCACCTTAAGTGTTTGGTAAACTAATGCACTTTCTAAGTAATAGAGTTACACAATGGGAGAAATAACAGTAAATGTGTATGTAGACTATACAGACTACAGAAACCTATAAATTCCTTTCCAAATTGGCACATGAGAAGACTTCATGATTAAGAAGCTCCACTTAACGAAGAGGAAAACTTTTTAAGTCCATATGCCTTCACTGTCCCATTATTACCAGGAAATCCTGAAACGAAAGCTCTGAGTCATGAGATCTCAAGGGACAGACAAATCCTTCTGAACACACCCTCCTTGGAAACTGCCTCCCTTCCCTCCAACTTCTCGGGAAACGGGCGCACAGAGAACCATCTCTCCCCAACCCCCTTCCAGAAAGTCAAGGCTCCCCCCACCCACCCCCTCAACAAACACCGCCCCCTCCTTCCAAATCCCGGACGTTCGGATTTGCCTCGGAAGGTGATTAAGTACAGCCCCAAGCAACACGGAGCTCCCCGACAAACCACAGCCAGCGGCCCATTTTCAAGGAAAAGGAGCAAACCGGGATGAGAACGAGTCCCAGAGCTGCCGGGGGTGGGGGGTAGGGGAGCTAAAAGCGGCGCCCCGGGACCGACCGCCGCGCTCCGTCCCCAGCCCGGGTCCCCAGCCCGGACCCCCAGCCCCGGACCCCGGCCAGGTCAGGACCAGGAACCCGGGGGGTCCTACGCAGGCCAGGCCGAGAGCGCCGCTCACGCAAACTTTCACCCGGGCGCACAGAAGAGTACGGCGCCCACGGAGAGGGCGTCGCCGCCCCCACCTCCCGAAAACGGCTGTGACCCAGACACTTCCCGCTAAGTGACGCGGGGTCCCCAAGCCTGCGTCCCTCCTCTCCGCGCCCGGGAAGCGACGGGAACACCCCACTTATCCCCCCAACGGTGGCTTACCTAGGCCACAAGGAACCACTCACCACGACCGCCCCAGCCTCGGGTCACTGGCACTGAGTTCTGACTCGAGGGGAAGAAAGCGGGCACCGGAGGACCGCCCTTGAGGCGCGCCAGGGCTCCGCCCCCCGCCTTCCCTTGCGCAGGCGCACCGAGCGCGGTCAGGTGACCCGTCCCCATGGTAACAGGGCAGCTAGGTGATGGAGGTGACCAGGGCCGTTTGTGAGAGAGGCTGCCGCAGCCGCTGCTACTCCAGGGATTGGGGGAGGTGGAGCCGCCCACACTGCCATCCGTTACCCTGGACACCTTTTCCACCCTGCCAGTAGTTTGTGCCTAAGGGCCCGTCGCCACCGGCTCACTACTCTGAGCTCAGGGTCCCAACACATCAGTCCTGAAGAGTCCTGAAATTGTACAATTTCAGGACAAAATATATACAAAGAGTCCTGAAATCATTTAGAAATTTCCTCCGCTCGCCTTGGCACTTCCACCACTGTAGTTACTACCTTTCAGTGCCCACAGGCCCAGGAACATTCTTCCCAGTAATCCTTCTAAACTCCAGCCCTCTTTGCGCTACAACTTTTCTACTTGGGCTTTTATCGCTTTGTCCAACTGAACTGAAAGTCCGTTGGCTGTTGAAGGTTTTGGATAGGTTTGCACAGAAGAGCTGTGTCCTAGTATGAAAACTAAAAAACTATTTCTTGACGGCTATGTTCTAGGCACTCTCCTAAGACCTTGATGTTCCTAGTCTAATTTTATCATTAAGATCAATCTATAAGATAGAGAGATTCATCTGCCTTGGCTTACGAAGAAATTGAGGCACAATTCACCCAAGTTACCTGTTTGTCATAGTTACCATATAGTAACATGGAATGTAAAATAGCATTAACTTAGAAGCATTTTATTTCCAGCTGTTTAGTACTATAATAATTTAATCTGTAAAACTAATAAAAATGTGAGCAGAAAAGAGATGACTATAAGATGAAAACTTCACCCTCATAGAGTTTATGGTATAGCAGCTTGAGCTGATAAAACATATATTTAAAAAAATACACAATAGATTGGGAAAGAGAAAGCTGTTTTTCTTCACAGATGACATGATTATGTAGCCATTTGCAAAGAATTGACCAAAAATTTAAAAAAACTAAACCAAAAATAATAAGCAATTATAGAAAGGTTGCAAGATACAAATTTAATATACAAAAACCTACTGTCTGTATACCAGCAATGAACCACTGGAATTTGAAATTAAAAGCACACTATCACTTACATTAGCACACAAGAAAGAAGTATTTAGGTATAAATGTAACAAAGTATATAGAAGTTCTATATGAGAAAAACATTAAAATTTTGATGAAAGAAATCAAAGAAAATCCAAATAATGGACAGGTATTCCATGTTCATGGATAGGAAGGCTCAATATTGCCAAGATGTCAGTTCTCAACTTGATAGATTTGACACAATCTCAATAGAAATCCTAGCAAGCAACTTTTTATATCAACAGACTGATCTAAAGTTTATATGAAAAGACAAAAGTCCCAGAAAAGCCAACATGATATCAAAGAAGAGGAACCAAGTCTCAGGTCTGTCAGGACCCAACATCAAAACTTAATATAAAACTACAGTAATCAAGACAATGTGGATTTGGGAAAAAGGACTAGACAAGTGGGTGAATAAAATGGAATACACAGAGATCAGAAATAGACTCTCACAACTACAGTCAGTAGTTCTTTGACGAAAGAGTAAAGTCATTCAAGGACAAAGAATAGCCTTACCAACAAATGATGCTGGAACAACTGGACTTATAAATAAAAAAAAAAAAAGAAAAGGAATCTAGACACAGACCTTACACCTTTAACTAAATTAACTTGAAATGGATCATAGAACTAAAGTCAAAATGCAAAACTATAAAACTTCTTGAAAATAACACAGGAGAAAATTTAGGCGACCTATGGTTTGGTCATAAGTTTTGGATATAACACCAAAACCAGAGTGAAAGAAAAAATGGACAAATTAAGACTTCATTAAAATTTAGAATTTCTGCTCTGGAAAAAAACACTTTTGAGAAAATAATAAGACAGGCCTGTCTGGTGTGGTTCAGATGGTTGGAGCACCATCCCACCTTGGGCTTGATTCCTAGTCAGGGCACATGCCTAGGATGTGGATTCTGTCCCCAGTTAGGGTGTGTGTATACATTGAAGTTTTTCTCCCCATCTCTCTCTCTCCCTATCTCTCTCTCTCTCTCTCATCTCCTCCCTCCATGCCTCCCTTACCCTTGCACTGACATTAATAAAGCATGTCCTCTGTAGAGGATTTAAAAAGGTGAAAAGACAAGCCACAAACTAGGAGAAAGTATTTGCAAAATATCTGATAAAGGACTTTTATCCGAAATATTCAAAGACCAACTAAACCTCAACAATAAGAAAATGGGTAAAAGATCTGAAAACAACCCACCAAAGAAGAGATACATATGGCAGATAAGTGTTTTTAAAAAGTCTCAAAAGCAAGTTAAAAGAATAATGAGGTACCACTACACACATACTGGTGTACAACACCAAGTGTGAACACCGATGTAAACTGTGGATTTCAGTTAATAATAATGAAGGGGAGGTGGGGACTAGATAAAAGATGAAGTGATTAACCAAAGAACATTTGTGCATGACCCATGGACACACACAATGATATGGGGTGACTGACAGAGGAAGGGGTGGTACTGGGTGGAAGTGGGAAAAAGAGAGAGAAAGCACAACTATTACAGCATAGACAATAAATAAATACTTAATATGAGGGCTGTTTGAAGGTATCTACCCATGTGATATGAAAAATGTAGACATTTACTGAAGGAGTTACAAGATAGAAGAAACATTGTACATAGGACAATGATGCCTTAGTTCCTTTCGAAGTAGGCATCTTGGGACCTCACACAGTTCTCCCAATTGCCATTAGCTGTCCTGTTGTATTTTCCTGAATCTCATTGACAGGCTGAAATCTGTTCCCTTTCAAAGGTGCTTTTAGTTCTGGGAAAGCCCAGTAATCACAGGGTGCCAAAGCTGAGCTGTAGGAGGCTGAGTCACCTGGGTGGTTGGATGACTCATCAAAAAACTCTGCTCAAGATGTGATGCCTGAGCAGGTGTGTTGTCCTGATGACACTGCCAATCACCAGGTGCCCAAAGTTGTGGCCTCCTGAATTGTCCAAAGAGCTTCCACAGAGGAATGTTAAAGCTTAATGCAAAATTTGATGCAGATTTGTTGCTCTACACAGTCATATTGAATGCAACAGCCACACAGCACACATCTCACTCGACAGTGTCTACCACCCCACTGACTGCTACAGTGAAGTTGTCATTGTTTATGCATGTGCATTCTAGTCCACGCTCCTTGGCTGCCACTTTACATTGATGTCATGATACTGTTGTCATTATATTAACAATGACTGAGCTTTTTTCCAAACAGATCTCGTACTGTTAGTAATAATAATGTATCAATATTGGTTCATTAAGTACAACAAATATACAACACTGATACAAGATGTTAAAACCCTGGCCTATGTGTCCCATTTGGTTGGAGAATTGCCCCTTAACCAAGAGATTGTGAGTTCCATTCCTGGTCAGGTCGCATACCTAGGTGGCGGGTTCATCCCCGTCCAGGCACATAGGATCCCCAGTTCGGGTTCATGTGATCCCCAGTCCTGGTGTGTATGGAAGGCAATCAGTCAATGTTTATCTCTCACATTGCTGTTTCTCTCTCTTCCTTCCTCTCTCCAGCCTTTTCCTCTCTGAAAGCAATGAAGAAATGTCCTCTGGTGAGGATAAAAAAGAATATGTTAAATTGTGTTGGGGGAGATGGTAATACATGAGAACGTTGTATTATTTGCTCAATTTTTCCGTAAACCTAAACTGTTCTAAAAAATGAAGCCTATTAATAAAAATATAATAATTACACAAGTAGAACTGTGATGGGTGTTTGAAGAAAAAAATTAAGAACTATGAAAAGTTATTACAAGAGAACCAAAAGACGTTTAAGAGTCTGAAGAAGGCATCCTTGAAAATATGGCTTCTAAGCTGAAGAGTAAGAATTAGCCAAGTGACAAGTGGAGAAAAAGCATTTCAGGCAAAGAGAACAACAAATACAAAAGTGTTGTGGTTAAAGGGAAGCTTGATGCATTTCAGGAGCTGAAAGGCCGTTTTGGCCAGAACACAATCATCAGAGAAGGAATAGCTTAAGACAAAGCTAGAGAAGTAGGCAGGGCTCCACAGAATCTACTGAAAAGAGTAACATGATTAAATTTACACTTAAGATGATTGCTGTAGTTACTGCTGGGAGGATGGATTGAATGTGTGGGTACCTCTGGGATGCACAGAGACACATTAGGAAACTACTACAGGTCTGGTTTCTGAAAATGCAGAAAATCAGAAAAATCCACAAAATATTAGGATAAGAATCAGGAAGGCTTAGTGGTTGATGGGGTATGAATTAAATATGAGAGGTAGCTAAGATAAGTACCAAGTTTCTGGCATGAGCAAACAGATAGATGTTGGCACACATGCTGATTGGGGTACAGTAGCATGAGATATAAAAGGCAGGAAGATTAGAAGATTGTTTTTGGATTGTTTGAATTGGCATGTGAGTTACCAGTTGTGGTAGGCTGAACATTGGCCCCCCAAGATGCCCATGGCCTAATTTTCAACACCTATAAATATGTTACCTTCCATGGCAAAAAAAAAGACATTATAGACATGATTAAGGATTTTGAGATGGGGAGATTGTGCTGTATTATCCAGTTGGGCATGATATAATCACAAGGGGCCTTGAGTGGTAATGAGTGAGAGAATCGAAGTGGTAGTAGAAGATGACGGGAATAAACAGCGATTGAAATGATGTAACCATGAGCCAAAGGGTGCTGGCAGACACTCTAGAAGTCTGAAGAGATAAGAAACATTCCTTTCTGGAGACTCCCAAAGGAACGAATCTGTCAGCATCTCCATCTGCAGAATCACCTTGATGCGTCCATCACCTATGTCTGCAGAAAACTGTAGACTTACTCCCTAGCAAATGAAGGGCGTGTGAGTGAAAATTGATACTCTGAATAGTGAAACTGCTGGGCCCTTTTTTCCAC